GGAGAGGATGTAGGACTCGGGAGCTATAATAGGTTTGGTAACCAGGCTAACTTGAAACATCCGACAGTTTTCAAAATGAGTTGCTGGAGTAAGACTAACATTTTTCTTGTGCATCTCATTACCTGGATGTCTACTCAGCAACATACAGTACATGTAGTTCATGGCTCGTATTTTTTCAAAGTATCAACTTTCAGAGACAAGGGCAGCTAACCTGGTGAAAATTTGAGCAGCCTGTTGTTCAGCCCTCCGTCTCCATCCACCACGTACATTTCTCCCTTAGCGTTGAAAGCCACGTCTGCAGGTTGGTCGAACTGTACCGGGTTCTTCCCTGTCCCTGCCTGCCCCGGCGTACCCAGGACATGTAACAGTGTGCCGTTCCTGTCAAAGGCTTTAACAGTGTGACCCCAGGGCCCTGTGTAGAGAAGTAGAATGCATTAATAAACAGTAAACAGGCACTTAGCCCCTTGGCCAATTTGTTTGTTTTTCAACCATTCTTTATTTATGAAAGCTCAAATTGGCATGCAAGCCACTTTTCATTGAGGTGATGAGGGAAGAGGTAAGGGTTAGACAAAAATATATCAAGATAAAGTTTACATTATTCAAAGTCCTACTAAAACACATTTTACATATACATGGTACAAAATACACTGACCAGTTTGGTGATAGTATGATTTTTATCAAAACCACCCAGATATTGACCAACATTCTGTCAGAATGTCAACATTCATGATCTCAGAACTCACCACTGCCCACATCAGTGACCCATATCTGTGCATCAGCTGATGTCTTCCCTGCGGGAATGTGCACCCTGGTCCCATGGGGCATGTCGATTTTCTCTGTCTCCCAGCTACGCAGGAACGTACCATCCTCCGAGAACACATTCATTTTGGTGCTGACATTGCCTCTCTGGAATAAAATCAGAACACGTTAAATATCTTTTCAGTGGGGGAAACCACAAAGGCAAGAGTAGCATCAGGAAAAAAGGTTTTCCTCTTGGCCCAGAAAAGGCAGCCTGGCAAGCTAGACTGTGCCGCTTTTTCCAGAAACCCCAGGGGAAAAACAGCCATCAAAGGCTATGCAATGTGATGTTGATACAAAGCAATGAGGGTGAAAAATCAAAATCCTTAAATATTGTTTATTCACTTGTAAACACTCCTACAAGTTCAAGTTTTGGGGCCTCAAAAGGCACACACCTGTCAGCAGAGCCACCTAGCGACTCAGCTCATACTTGCAGTTTCCAAATGATCATGCAGCACAGGTCTAGATCTGTTCAGGCTCGGCTGTTTGCAGCTTTGCTTTGAAGTATATATAAAACAAGTATGCTATATTTCGAATCGAAGGTACTATGCTGCCATCAGCGAGGTATCGACAATACTTATGATCTTTACAGGACCGCAAAAATCGATAAATCGTTACAGTAAAGTAGCGTAAATCTTCTTGTTGTTTGTACCTGTGCCACGAAGACTTCGTCCACATTCCCACCAACCAGCACGCCTGTGCTGAACTCCTGTGCCTGGAAGTGTGAGGGAACCAGCGGCCATGTCGGAACCAGCTTGTAGACCGGTGATCTGGACGGACTAACGATTCCTAGGAGCAAGAAACACACAAAACTTCGGCAAACAGATTCACAAGTTCCACAGGAAGCCATCTTGCCCTTTGGAAGGAACCAACCTGTTATAGGGGGACATTGTCAAGGACATAAAGTAATTTGACTAATGTCCTTGTAGTACTAGTAAGTAAACATTTGTCATGAAATTTGTGTATCTGGATGAAAATATATAATTGTAGATTGTGTATTATTTCGTCAAAGGAAGATATTTTCTCGACTTTGACTGACTTAAACATTTGACCCCCATATGCAAAGTAAACTAGTCCAACCTGTGTCGTCAGGCTATTTTGTGCACCATAAAAAACGGGACCATTTTCTTTTATCTCTGCATATATAGATGGTTCGTTGGCCGATTAGAGAATTATTCACCTCAAGAAAATAATTTTCACCTTAAAATCATTTTATGGTTTTATTTTACCGAATCTACGAGCATAACAACACATGTATTGATGACGTAGTACACATCAACATCTGTTGTACATTTTCTGAGCTGGAGCAAGAAGACGGAGGTTGCCACGTCTAGAGCCTCGAATTTGGCTGCAAAATGCCGAGCAACGAAGGCGGGCAGGGCAACAGGGACAGGAAGCTGGTATCAGGGCCTTCCTTGGTACACTCCTTCACCAGATTTATCAACAAGAGCGAGCGCTGTGCGGATATAATCTGGATTGACTACGAGGGGAAGAGAGTGACTTACACCACCGACCTCAGACCGGGCGAGTTTTTCGATGTAAACACCTTCGTGGGGCATCCTTGGATTTTCAGAGACAGTATTTCGAGAGACAAGCTCACGGTCAGATGTAAGGAGGTGTACTTTCCTACACCTTGGAACGGAGACTGGCCACCACAGAGGACAACCATCAACATTGGCATACCAGGTAAAAATAATAAGGATTTAACGTTATAAATTTCTCCAGGAACGTCTTATTATTTTGAGATTTTGGCAACGTAACAGGGAAGATGTCGTTTGGTGAAAGTGCTGGATTGTCTGAGGGGTGGTCACGGTCTTGTTGTTATTGGGAAGTATATTGTATCCTATTTGTACATGACGTGACAGACTTGTTATGTGCAAAATTGAGAAAACGTTCAAGGGGGGTGTGTACTTTTCATGATAGGTATTAAGGGAAGATATTAATGGTTATGTGGTAACAATTATAGCAGAATTTTTTTGTTACGGCATGTGAATGTTAGAAAAATCTGTTAGGTCACTGGCAGTTCCTTTAAGATACACTTATTGCCCAGGTTCCGGTGTATCGCATGCTCAAGGGGCTGGTAAAAAAACACCCCTAATTTGTCCTGTGGAGAACGTTTACAAGGCTAGTTAACATTACTAACAATTAGTAACATGTCCTTTTCCCTGTCCAGTGTACACATTACGAGAACGTTGCTCGCAGGTCATCAGACGGCTGGTGCCAAGGTCGCAGTATGACCTTCTGGAGATTCCCAAGACTCTCAAATTTGAGCTGGACGAAGTGGACGATGCAATAAGAATCTCATGAAGACATGAAGACATGACATCCCAACAACATCCTGTCTATGTGTGACAATGGAAACAGGAAGCTTCAACAATTCTTGTGATTGTCCTGTATGCACAGAACAATGAAAACAGGATGTGATAAGTTAACAGCATCCTGTGTGCGCCCAACAAGGGAATCATCCCTCCGAGTTCTGCACTGTGAGATCAATATGTCATGAGTACATCTACTCTAGATGTGATTTTGAACTTATAATTGGTTAATGCATATTGATTGAATGATTTGTCAGTATTTGTAATACATTGTACATGTATTTAATTGATATTGTATCAGTGAGTGTTATTGTAAGAAGGCTTAGTTAAATACCACCTGCATTTGCAGGTTAGTGCAGGTAAAATTGGAGCTGTGCTGGTATTTCTGATGTCTACCTGTTCCTAACCTGCACTAGTCCAAGTACTAGGCTTATACACAAATGTAGGTGTATGTGGAGAATTTTATTTGCTCTCCTTTGAAGTCGAAAAGAAATAATGTCATGGCTTTTAGTATGATCCATACTTTCTAAATTCTGAGTAGTGCAGGTAATTTTCAATTGTTACCTGCACCAGTGCAGGTATGCAGAAAAAAATATTCAAGCCTTGTAAAAGTACATGTAACTAAGTATTTCTTTGAACCTGTTGCAGGTACCACATATGAAGTATTACATGTTAGTGTGTGACAGTGTCTATTTAGAAAGTTGGTTTGGCACTTACCGGTATGACTTACTAGTATTTTGGTTCTTTCTAAAGATTATAAACCCTCACTGGTCACACGTCACAAAGGATGATATTCCTTGGAAGCACAAAGAGATGATCGTTGCAAGAGGGTTGGCAATATTTCTTCTTTTTTTTCTTAAGTCTGGAATTATTTAGTCAGTGATGTTAATGTAAATCAGGAGCTATGTTGTATGGTCCTCCATGGTAAGTCTGGTGGATATCCAGTCAAAGCATAGGTGGTAGGTTTACCAAATTTTTGTTGAAATCGGTGTTGCTTTACAAACCCTGTATGAACTTGGTTTACTGATTCATATCTACTGCATACTCAATCTGCTGAAAAAATACACTAAACACAAAGTTTGTACTTGGTGTACTGAAAATTCACCCCACCTTAAGTTGTCCTTCTACATGTGGGCATACCGATTAAGACACTACACATGTACTCAAAGGGGTCCAGAAGTTTGAAATTGTTGCACATAATGCATATGCTTGAAGGTTGTGACTTATAACTATAGTGTTAGCCCACCAAAGTCAAATCATCCAGGTTTTCTCTCAACATTAAAACTTCTCATATCCTGTACAGAGACTGATGCACAACAGTTGTAACACTTACAGTGTGCTGTAGACATCATGACTGTGTGTGTGTGGCAAGGTCCCAGATTTGTCTAAACAACATAATATATGAGATACCTATACCATAGATTTAGCCTGGATGCCAGCCTCTTTACTTTTAATATGCGCCCCTAGTCGCTTTCCTGTCAAAAAGACTCAGCCCATTTGTTCAGGATTTGAACAGGTGCTCTGATTGGCCAAACCAGAGCAGGGGTATACAGGGTTATCCAATCAGCAGAGGCCCCATCCACGCAGCTTGTGACAGTTGTCAATTACATATATAAAGCTAGAAAGGCTGTCATCCAGGCTAATGTAGATGTAAAGGTAAAGCTGAAGACAAACAGATATCTTACTAAGCCAGGATGTGTCAATATGGTATGCAATACAACACCAGTGTGGCTTATAGAGACATGTTATTCATTAAGGCCATTTGATTGATTGTACATTGTTGTTGCCAATGAATTGACTCGTTATTACATTGTATCATTTAGACAATCTGCAGTTATTGTTGTTGTTGTTTTTTTTTTCAAGGAAAATGTGTGCTTCAGTTCTTGAAATGATGAGTAAAGGAATATTCTAGCAATGGTTTGTATTGTTTTGTTTCATGGACATTGTTTCTTCCAGGTATGGCTATATGGGTTTGTCTGCCCAAATTACTTTTGGTTTCATGGTGGGTGGGAGGTGATTTAACAGTTGATTGATAGATACTAGGTCACCTGAAGGTGACCCAGAATGCAGCAGTCTGCTAGAGGACTACCGGTAAAGGTTTTTTGTTTGTTTCGCATAACGTTTAAACTTTTATACACAACACACTAGTTTTGTATGGTAAGTACAAGCTAGTGTAAGACTAGACTCTAAGGATTGAACTACTCACACCAGGAAGGACCCCTACACTTTGTGATAAGTGTGGTGGGATCTTAATGAGCTCAAAGTGTGGCTCTCCTCTAACATGGGACCTGCAGCTTTTCATCCCATCTGAAAGGATGTCCCTAAAGAAAGCTAGGTACTCATTTTTCACCTGAGTTGTGAGGAAATAGGTTTAAAGTGCCTTGCCCAAGGACACAATAGTGGGGCCTGCCAGGGATTTAGAACTCAAAAAGTTCTGATTTAACACCCCTAACCACAAGACCACCTTTATACAAATCAAGATAGCATTAATATATCAGGCAATAAACTTTGATGGAAGTAATGCAAACTACAAATGTTAAAGGCACCACATCCGGATATATTTCACATACTCATCACTGCATCACACAATTATTAACATCACAAAAACTGTTCAACAACATCATTATTTGTACATAGAAAAATATTTAAAAATGATCCGGAATGTCCAAGTTTACTGACTGCACTTGTTGGAAAATCTGTTCATTTACTGCATGTAACATTTTGGGAAGGCCACTCTTGGTATTCTTTGGTCCATCTTACCATCTTTCTATGGTCATAAATGTTTGTTATGATAGATACTAGTATTCACATGTTTATACTGAACAACATCATTTCTAGATACTGTATCTACTTTGTAAGAAATAAAACTGCAAAATTTCTGTTGCCTTGCAGATTTTTCACTGAACCTTAAGAAAAATTTCACCATCAAATTCTGGGGGTACAGAATTATATGCATAGAGCTAATATGTTTTCCACTTGCAGACAAGTACAAGAGTACAGACCAGTGCATGGCCTAGTCTAGCTTGATTGACAGATATTTAAATGTATGGAATACAATGTAACCTTTGAAAAAATGAGGATAACATATAATACATATGCAGCAAAAAGGTAATTTCAAACAAACTGCACAAGACATCAACTTTAAAAGCAAAGTAGCAAGGATGAAAATATACATAATATGATAAATTTGAACAAAAAAAATCACTTCCACATCCAGTTGTATTATAAGTTACGTGAGAATCAAAGTATACTGTGAGTAATAGCTGCAATTTTTGCTTTCAACCGATACATATGATACGAGTTATTAGTGTTGTATATTGTCCCATGTCTGAGTAACACCGTAAGAAATATGTATACAAATTCACCATTGCAAAGTCAGGTACAAATTAAGGTCACAGATACTCAGAACTCCATCATTCCAACCTTAGCCACTTCACATTGTTACCAATGCTGTAGAACTCTTTTTATGTACTGGGCACTAATTTTGCTATATTTGTAGATAGAACACTAGAAATGTATGTACAGAACTTCAAAACCTTCATTTGATATATAAGACTGGTTTCACAGTGGAAATTTAACAACCAAACAACCATGAACATGACTTTACATGTATTATTCTATAACACTTTTGTAATAAAATTTAACATACAAAAGTGTTGTTGAACGTTGGAATACTAGAAAGTTTGTGGCCCTGATTTTTCTAGTCAACTTGTTTTCTTTCCATTGTTTTATCCATTGCATTACATGACTTTACATAGGATTGGTCTAGTGTATTGGTATGATTGTGAGCCTGCAGTTCAGAACGTTGCCACTAGAAGGCAGGAGTGGGGCTGTCACCTGATCCATCCTTCTTCCCCCTCTGCCTGCGCAGCTGCACCTGTAACAAGAACAAAAAACAGATAACAATTATAAAGGTTCTGCTCCTCAGGCATTAATACAGTTTGATATACATGTAGAAGACACATACAGTTACTGATACATGTATATCCATGAAGACCTGCTATGAAGCTCTGAGGCAGTCAATGGCCAGTCTCAATAATGATTGCATATGTGCTAATATGGACCAATTATTGTCAGACTGAGAACTGCTTGTTACAATAGTGCGTGAGTTAGAGGTGTATGGCCACAAGGTCTATTAAAGGGAGGAGGCCCAATCAGCACCTAAGTGAGATTGTGCAATACAGGCTTATACTATATATAGGTTATGTGCTCCCTTAGATAAAACAGAAATGCCCCACCTGTAGCTGCAGCTTGTTGGTGAAGAACATGCTCTTCCAGCCTACGTCTTTAGCCAGGTCACGCATCTCTTCTGTCACGTTCTCACAGTGGCGCTCATACACATGCTCCCACAGCTCATCAGAGTTACAGATCTGAAAAGTGACAGAAATGGGCAACATAATTCAATACCCAAGTGTTCGAGTATGGTGTGGATCTGAAAAGTGACAGAAATGGGCAACATAATTCAATACCCAAGTGTTCGAGTATGGTCTGGAAGTATTTGTGTACGTGTCTAATAATAGCTTTGTTTGCATGGGAGGTGATTTTGATAGGAAGGTCATGCCTGAAGGTGATCCAGCATGTACCAGCTGTAGGAAATGGAGTATGTGGAGGAATTCAGGAAGTGGTGTAATACCTGATTAAAGTACATCAGATTAAAAAAAAATTTAGGTCCCTTGTCAGTGGCCGAACCAAAAGAAGGCTACGATCGGCAGGTTTTTGTTTGGATAACCAGAAACACAACATTTTCTTTAATACATGTACACTACTTAAATACACTACTACCTCTCTGAAGAGCTTGTTGGTCTGAGCGAGCTGAGAGATGTCCTCCAACTCAAGGTAGGACACCAGGAAGATCAGCATGGGCTTTGGCACACGTGTGATGAAATCAACATGCCCGCGGCACAGCCCCAGGGCGTGTTCCAGGGTAGGCTCACCGAACACCCTCCGCACATCACCTGTAAGCAACAACAACAACATCAGTCATACATAAGGCTCCAGGCTTAGTGTTTTTTAAGGTGGGTCTTAATGATAGAAATTCATTCATGCATATTACCACGACCAGACAGAAGAAGAACCAAGATGCTGCAGCTAGCCTGTGTTACACAATCACTCACTGTCAGGGGCTGATTGGGCCTCTTCCTGAGAGCTTGTGGCCATACCTCTTACACTCCAGAGAACCATTTCCATTTCCTGAACTACAGTAACCAATAGGAACTTAGGGTTTGCTTATCACTATGGAAATCGGTCCAATAGGAACTCATGATTCTCTGTCACTATGGTAACCATGCGAGCACACATGTATACATCAACAGGATCAAGATGTTTCCAATTTTCCTGACTTAGAGATGTTGGCCCATAAAAGGGCTGCTAGAATTAGTACAAAGGCTCACCCTGGACCCTATCATCGTTGAGGAAGTCATCATGTGATTCTCTGATCTCCCCGGGGAAACATCTCCGCTCATCTCCCTTCCTCAGGGTAATTCTCCACCATCGCCAGATTACCTAGTAAAAAAAACATCACTGGTTAGTTAATAATGATTGGTGAAGTTAATCATCAACGTCTGGTTACCGGTACTAGTTGTGTGCACTAGTGACTCCTATGTATGCCTGATTATCGTAATGCTATCATCATGTGAAATTTTCCTCTTAGGCCACACGGTACCAATTTGATCCGTTGGTTCCCAGATTTTTTCACGAAATCAATGAAGCAGGTGGAACATCAACAACAACAAGAAAACGGGTCTTTAGGCATTCTGTGATATAACCTCAAATTCTACCATAGGAGCCATAAAGTCAACATACCAGGCTTGGGATAAAGCTTGTGTTACTAATTTCAGTGTTTTTTAAGACATTGCCATTGCCATTTGTAAGAACCTCGCATGTACATCCGAGTGTACAAAACAGCCCCCAAACCAGTCCAGACTGGATTCAAAGGACATTCAGTAGAGATGTCATTGAATATCATTGTACCGTGTAGTCAAGTTTCACATACCCACTCTTGTACAGACTGTACATGACATACTATACCAGTTACCCCATAATTGCATTTTTCCTTGTTTCCACAACAAGACAGAAATTCCTGCAGTGGTCAAGTGCAACGATATGCACCTCTAAAAGCAGTTCTAAAAACACCTGCTAACACTTGAAGACAAAAACAAATACATAATACATGAAGTGTATATACCACACGTGACGTCACCCTTCTGTTGACCTTTTCAACAAAGGAAACGTAATAACCACCGACATGTTGGACAGACATTCCCAAAATAAATCAAACTCTAACATTTGGCAAATGTCAGCATGACAATGAGAAGGTTATGATTCTAATGTCGTGAATGTTGACCCTTTTGGATCACCATGGTAACAATCTGAAGGTGGAAATTGCAAAACATGGCATTGATGTTTACGATACTCTCCAAAGAAATGAATACAGGCTGTTTGTGGCCAGATAATAGCACAGAAAACCACCCTAAATAAACAAGAGACTGACCTTCTTGTTTGCAATAGCCATGAAAAACCTATCAGGGCCAAATTTCACCAAGTATTAAAACAAGTTGGCTTAGGAGCCTGGGTTTAGATAATTTGGTGTTTTCGGTGTTTAGAGTTTGTTATGCGTAGCCAAGAAACTACAGGATATATTTGTTAGCTTTTTGGCCTCTTTAAATTTCTTAAGACACTCTCAAATGTCTGAGTTTGAACAGGTGTATGATCTCATGCGTAGTTGAACTTGCAAGTCAACTATGCGTTACTGTACTTTGTCGTTTGTCATGCGTCATCAAAAGGTTCTAAAACAATCGTTATCCGTTCACACAACTCTAATTTGAAGCTCTATAAACTTCTAGTAATAATGACATTTCTGCGAATGATGGCAGTATAAGCTTGACGTAGTTTGCCGAGACCATGAAAATATTATGCGTGCTAGACCACGTAGGCACTTTGTTTTGATTTCGAACTTCCGCAGACGGGAATGAAAGGGTGGGAGGGGGCGCGTTGGGCGGTACGGTCTAGTGCTAAATACGCGAGCTTACGACGAAGACTATGACTTAAAAAAAACTGCAGCCCTGTCCACAGACTCTCGGACGCGTACTCACCTCTTTAGTGGTGATGAGGAGTTGGCAGTAGTCCTTGGAAGGCGCGGGAGCCTGGTCCGCCATTTCCAGCAGCACCCCATCTCTCACTAAGGACGCCATACTGGTTGCCATCTCACGTCATGCGCGAGAAACGTCGAGACTTCCAGACACAATTATTACATCAAAATGATACGGGATTCTTTTTCTTTTTCTAGAATAATAAATTCGCGAGGTTTTATTTTTTGCGAGGGGTCCGACTTTATTTGCGCTAAGTAGGGAAATGAGTTTTAGGCACAGGTTCCTCATCCCAGCAGGCTTTGCGCGTTTTGTACCATCTTTGATGTTCGTCAAGTTCGATGGTAGGTACCAGAAAAAGTTACATTTCTCTCTAAAATTGAAGAAATGATGACTCCGATGGGTGATTTTTAAAAAGGGGGGATTTCAAGGAGCATAATTTGACAGGAATGTGACATGTTGGCCCAAAGGATATGATAATAAGGGCCGCGGATTGATCCGGGTTCGTCAAAGGGGTATCGCAGGGAAGCGGAAAATTGATCTTCGAGAATCGCCAGCAATTCCGTCCAGTTCTGGCCAAATTTTGACGTCCTCGAGCGTTTTACAGTGAAATAAGAGTAGCTGTAGTATAAGGTGATATCTGCGATGCGTTGATATGATCTTATCGGCTTTTAATTCCGTGAAAGTAGTTCCCAATGAGCGATGATATAAAGGGTGCAAGCAGGCCTGATGTGACAGAGAGAGAGGCTGTCTGGAAGCGGAAGAACCCTTGACAATTGTGCCGACAAAATCACCCTTTTTCAGCATTTTGACTGGTTCCACGGATCTAGAATTGTAGGTGTACATGCCTAGTTTTCTACAGTATGTTATTGGGGGACAGTTTGGCGTCAAAGTAGATTTAGAACCCGCAAATGTTGGGTCTTTGTGAAAGTGCTACGTATGTCCATTTATCTAGGTCAACACAGGTCAAAGGGTTCTATGTCGTCATATATATGCATGCTTTCCAAGTCTGAACAAACGACTCCTTTTTAGCGCATTCTCAATATGAAATTATAAGCGCTATCTAAACCCTTTTCTGCTATAGCACGAATCTATGGGACATTTTCTGTATGTTTGAATTCCAAGGTGTTCAATTGTCAAAATAACATGGAAATAATTTTAATTTCTCAAATTCATATTTGTAAAATGACATATTGCAGTTCATATTGGTGTCTAATTCTGAGTGTGTTGCATTGCTGTGATAGTGATGTTTATCTTTTGTGTAACTAGATCCTAATTCTAAATCTCTAATGATCTATAATGAAGGCATGTAAAATTTCTGTGTCATATTTAGAGTCACACATCATTCATGCATGTGTGATCATGGGTACAAATTCAGTCATCATCAAAATGACAAAACTAACTAGCGAGCAATGGTAAGTTATCCACAGCTTCGTCTTCTAGTAGTCCTCAAAGAAATTGGTGTATAACCTAACCTAGCCTAATATATATAATTTTATATTATACATGTACGCTGGTGAAGTATCTCACTTTCTTGGGACCATCTGAAGCCAAAAGAATTTGTTATGCTGTCAATAATGTCTCTGTATGCAGGGTTTGGCTCTACACTACAGAGCTACACACCGTATTATTCACGTTTGAAATGATTCTGTAATGCAATTGAAATATGAAACACATGATTGCTGTGTCGAGATTTCGCGTAAAGAGGGTACCAATTGTGAAAACAAGCAGTGAACATTTTTTAAGATTTACTTTCCCGAAGGATGCTAAAATGGGGAATTGCGGACAACATACCACAGTTCGGGGGTTGGTTTCGCCATTTTTGTGACGTACGACGTACAGTACGTTATACCACATGTTGGTGATGGGGCAAATATCACCTGAAGGCTATATTTTTGGTGGTCCATGAATTATTAATATGGAATTGATAAAATGCTTAACCATCATGAACATAGCAGTGGTTCAGGAAAAATATTTAAAACATCCAGAAACTTCCTATGCATGGGCACATTTATATTATAATCTAAAAAGTAGATAGTATATACTTGAATATTGATTTATGCATTATATAATGTGCATTATGAATTGGCTTAGGCACACGCACACATGTACACACAATTTTAATTTGGAAAGGCACTAGTCTGTCATGTTTGAATGAAGGATTTGTCTGGGTACTAGGGCAAAATAGATGCCATTTAGTTACCGAAAGTGCAAAGAGTGATATCTACATGTAAGTGACCTTTCAAGGTACTGATAGAACTGAAGTAATGCCACCAAACATATTAAAAGGAAAATCTGGAAGGTGTTGGCAGGTCAGTGGACTCAGTGCAGTAGATTATTGGTGCCTGGTGGCATTAAAATTTAAATGGTGACTGTCTGTCTAACAAGATACAAATAATTTACAAATAACAGGTTGACGAATTCTTGAATGTAAAACAATTCTTAGTACAGATACACCCCAGTTGTTGAAATGTTTAAAGTAATGAGCATTGCATTGAAAATTGAAACATTTTCGGGACATATTTGGTAGTTTGGCAATGTCCCAATAGTTGGACGCTACAGGAATACCAGCCTACCAGACATGGCTGGACCTGCCTTCAAAGTAACAAGGATCATTTGGCTCCAACCATTCAAAAGCCAAATGTCCAGTCATGCAGAAATTTCAGACTACTGTCATCAAAGGTGTGATGTTGAACTCTTTGTTTCTGAAAAGACAGAGTAAGAGACAGTGAAAATTGCTTCCTGTTGTTAAAAAAATGTGATTTTTTGCTGCCAATTTTTTTTAATTTGACTTGAAAAACTAATTATATCATTTCATTAGACAATAGATTTACACAGCAGTTGCAATTGGTTGAAGGTGAAATGCCATGTTATATTTTGTCCACAGAAAGACCTACATAAAATTCTGTCAAAAAGATAATTAATATAACACCAAACAACCCTACAAGGAGATCTGATATACCGATAGATATATAGATACATGTATGTATAAAGTAGATATTTAAAAAAAAACACCATGGTGTTGCCTGAGGCATTTTAAGGTATTGAAGGCAACATGATCATGAAAAGACCCAGTCAAGAGAATTGATGTTAAACAAGGATCATGATTTGTCAACAATTTTACTGCTATTGTGGGAACATTAAAATGGTCAAATTAACTTGGATTTAGCATTTGACTTTTAGGGTACTATTGCAAAGGTAAATTTTTTGTAGGTTGGATAATTTGGTGCTCCAACCAAGGTACATCTATTGTCTAGTATGTAAATGTTTATAGGTGTAAATATGATGCCAATTTCCCTGTAGACATCAGAAATACCTGCACCTGCATAATTTTACCTCACTAACATGCATATTTCAGTTGTGTTTCGAGCCCTGCCATACCATGTCGAAAAGTCAAGACATAGTAGATTAGTAATAGTAGCAGTAATGTCTGCAGTAAGGCTATGGGAGCTATGGCAGTATGGGGCCTTTTTTTATCCCCAAAAGTCATGTACACAAATATGGTAACCTTTCTTGTCTCCAGCTGCAGCCTATTGAACGTGTAGAGGGGATGCCCTCTTGTGCGAGCTGCGCCTATGGCCGACCAACCTAGTCACCATCCTGGGGGGTCTTTGCGGCGGTCGTCACGCACATCGGTTGTTGCCAGGAGAGTTGAGTCGACCAGCAGCCGGAGCAGCAGTGTCAGTAGCAGTAGGAGTAGCAGTAGTGCCCTGTCTGGGCCAGCCAACTCCAAGAGGTCAGTTATGTGATATACTGTAAATCACTCTATATTCGCGGTAGCAAAACTTTGTGGTGTGAGGAAAATGGACATGTTTCCGGAAGGTGAAGAAGAAAAAGTCTGCGTATTAAATGTGTATTTGTAATGATAAATTCGCGGTAAAGAAATGACTGTGAAAAACGCGAATATGACAGAATTTTGTGATGAGTACATGATGTATTATGCTTACAGACTGGTACTCCTTTGAAAGTATTGTATTTAAAACATTCTCTCCTTTGGAGCCAAAAGTTACCAATGCATGCATTGTGTGACCATGATCACACCAAGTCACCTAACAGCACACATGTTCATTCTAACTGTGAGCTGTGACAGCATGCTAGAGCAACATGAAGTGTCAGGGCCTGCAGTCTGCAAGACTAAACTGTGGGCAGTATGGACTTCTTACAATCAACAAAAATTTATAATATACCAGTACTTAATTACGGTTCATGTAGACGTGCCTCACGGTGCCTGGTGAAATATTCACAACCGATTATGTACTCATAACTTGTCATTACTTCTAGGCATGAAAGTATTGTTTTGGGTGGCTGAGTTGTGGGTTTGTGTATATGTTTCTCCAGACAGAGTAGGTTGACAGAACTTGGGTGGGGAAGATTGACAGGCAGAATTACAGGTCAAAGGGCCCAGAGTTAACTTGATTTAAAACGCAATGCTCAACTAAAACCCGTAATGGTTGTAAAGTTGAAACTACTTGTGGTAGGCTGTATGAAATCCAGGTAATAATTTCATGGAAGTCAAATCAGGGAAACTTGAAGTTTTTCTATTTTTCTACTCCAGGTCTGAAGTAGAGCCTAATTCAGATTTGACAAGTGGAAAAAACTCTGGGCGAGGCTCCCACAGAAGAGGCAAGAGCCAGGAAAGAAAGAGGCAAGTTGGTTTGTATTCAGGAATGGAGGAGGAAGGTCCCAGGTGTGTAGGCAGTTCAAGATTATCTCCAAGTCAACATCGTTCCTGTTGTAATGATGACGTTTGCAGGCATCCACTTTTGATGTCAACTAACTTTATTTTCTTTTTATTGACCCGAATTATTGACGGAGCTGTGTATACTAGGAAATTCATCAATGGAACAAGGATGTTTCAGTATATTCAGACCAATTGTATTTTTGGGATCAGTGTTCAGGTACTAATCTGAATTGTCAACAAATTGTTTTGGTGAAGTTGTCAGTTGTTTTTGTAAGCCAGGCATCATTCTACAATCTCAGCTGTCTTGTTGTAAAGTTAATACCAGTGTAGATGTCAGTAAATACTGTAAATGCAGAAACTTTCACCATGGGTTTATTCAATGTGCAGAAGTCAATGCACCGCCAATATGTTCTTTGTATGTTTATTGCATTATGGTGTTGTTTCAAAAACAAATTCCCAACACAGCAAAATAAAACCACTGCAAAATTTCCCACATTTACAGTATTGTGTCATCTAAATTTCTCATTCTAGACCCAAGAAGTACTGCTAGCTCTAGACACATTGTGTAAACTCTTGTGGATTGGAACATACAGTGTTGAGTAGTTAGCATGTTTTGACAGTGTAAGTTTTCTTTTTACCCACAGGAGCACACGACATTCACCTTCACCCGATCGGTCATCTTCCCAGCCCGCCAAGCGGAAAGCTACGCACCGACCAGCGACAAAAGAGCCAGCCAAGAAGCTGGTCAAGACTGAAGTACAGACAAACTCTGTCCTTCCCAAACGAGGAGCCGGCAGGCTTCGCAAGGACTCTGCTTCTTCTACCGTCAGCAGTAGGAGTTTCACCAGTACCAGTACCAGTGAGAGTTCCCTCAGACAGGGAAGCAGTAACAAGGAGAGAAGACCGAGCACTTCCTCTTCTGCCAGCAGTGAAACTTCTTTGGTCCCAGGAACAAACAAGAGGGTTCGGAAACTCAGTGGAGGGACATCAGCAAAAAAGAAGAAGGATATCACTCACATTTCTGGGCAGTCCTCTCGTGGTTATGGTCTTAGGTCTCATCCTGATATAAAATCAGGATCAAAAGCTAAGACAGGTAAACTAAACTCTGAGAAGTGTTCAAAAGAGGAAGGTGCAAGTGGTACAAGTTCTTCTAGTGCTTTGCCATTGTTATCAAGTCTGCCACCTACCGGAAAGGGCAAGTCAAGAAAGTTTTCCGATTCCAAGAACCACAGTAAGAACTCGGGGAAGAACTCCTCCCGACAATCTTCCAGCAAAACAAAAGAAACCACAAAAAGCAAAGTGGGGAAGGCAACCTCCAAAAGTAGTTCCTCCGCGACCGGGGGAGAGAGCTCTTCGGCAAAGTCCGGGAGGGCTAGTAGTACTGACAAGGGATCAGACAACCGAGACTCTCGTAAGAGGGAGGACCTTTTCAATTCCAGAACTTCCGGTGGGGGAAGGAGAAGGGACTCTGAGGAAGGGAGTCCGAACTTTAACAATCTCAATCCCACGGTTAGTTTGTCCAGATCTAGACTAAGATCAGGAGGGAAAGAAGGGGATCCAGATCACCCTGGTCCCTCGGGGTTAGCGGAGCCGAAATCAGACAAGGGGAAAGGTAAAGGGAAGGGGAAGCGTCGCGACAAGATCCCGCCCGAGCCCGAGAGCTTGCGGCGGAGCGCAAGAAACAGAACAACGGGATCCTGTGCAAGCAGCAGTCGCCGGGGCTCGGGGCCGAGCAAGCGCAGTACAGCGGGGGCAGGATTGGAGGAAAACATGAATAATCCAAACGCAACTCAGGTGATTAACTCTGCTACTTTATTTCTGTCCAAACTAAAACAAGGTGTTATGGTAATTCTGCTGTTGTTGTTCTTTGTGCTTTTGGACAAACAAGCAAATCCAATGACAGTGTATCAGTTTTTACTGTACCTTTGTTATTTCTGATGTACACTTGCAATTGGCCTTAGGGCTTGCATTATTACCCTCCCAAAGAAGGTTATGTTGTCAGTAGCATTTGTGTGTCTGCCACAATAGTGTCTGTCTGTAAATACGATAACTTGAGAAGGCTTACATGAATTGGTTTGATATTTAGTAGCTGGGTAGATCTTGATGAGACCTCGAAATAATTAGATTTTGGGTCCCCTGGCAGCTTGTTATGGTATTGCAGTGGAACTTCCAGTTTTGATATCTTGCAATCTGGACATGCTAGTTACGGTATGTAACGACACCATTTTTACCTTACAGGATGGGACCGCCAACAACACTGGTACAACCAGGGCGTCGGAGGAAGCAACACAGGGAGCTATTGGAGGAGCAGGAGCGGGAGCCGTGGGGGGTGCCAGCGCCCTGGCCACCTCCGGAGGGGAGAGCGAATCGGATGACTCGGAGATGGGACGTCTGCAAGCCCTACTAGAAGCCCGCGGTCTGCCCCCGCACTTGTTCGGAGCCCTGGGCCCCAGGATGCACCAGCTCCTCCACCGTACGATGGGTGGGGGAGCGTCCAGCAAGGCACACACACTACTGCAAGGCCTACAGAGCGCCGACGAAAGCCAGCAGTTACAGGCAGTCATCGAGATGTGCCAGCTACTGGTGATGGGGAATGAAGAGACACTGGGAGGGTTCCCAGTCAAGTCTGTAGTGCCAGCTCTTATAACTCTGCTCCAGGTAGGGATTGCTATAGTATTGCTTAGGCATTGTTTTACCCGCAGTTGTCAAAAACCTCTTTGTATTTTAGTCATTCTGACCCCAGATACAATGACTATCTGTGCAATCAGTAGGTCGTCGTAGTATGTCATGGCGTGGAATTTTCAAGCAGGCTGTGACAGAACCAACCACCAACATGGATCTAAGACTGCCACAGTATTTCTGTAACAAGACAGCTGAATTTTGTCAAAATGTCAAAAAAAGCCAAGCAAAAAAGCTGAAAGTTATGGAAGTAATTTTTGCTAAGATAATTAGGCATAGACGTATTTTTCCTGGGTAAGATGGTTAAAAGAAATTTTCTTGAACTCTTTCAGATGGAGCACAACTTTGACATGATGAACCATGCCTGCCGGGCCCTGACATACATGATGGAAGCCCTACCCAGGTCATCCACTGTGGTGCTGGAGGCAGTGCCTGTATTCTTGGAAAAGCTGCAGGTATAAAATATATCAAGTGTGTTGTGCATTCATTGGTTGAACTGCTGATTGCCCTGCTGTCATTGGTTGAACTGCTGATTGCCCTGCTATCATTGGTTGAACTGCTGATTGCCCTGCTATCATTGGTTGAACTGTTAATTATGATGGACACTAAGCCTGACCCTGTTTCCTCAGGTGATCCAGTGCATGGATGTGGCTGAGCAGTCCCTCACAGCCCTGGAGATGTTATCTAGGAGACACAGTAAGGCCATTCTACAAGCAGGAGGTAAGATATCAACTTAGCAGTGTTTTCTTTTTTCATTAAAGAAACATGAGGCTTTTCTGTATCGGTGTGTCAGTTTATCTTTGTCTAAGAGGTGGGTTTGTTTATCTGGTTCTGCAGACAGGGTAGATTGACAGCTCATAGGTGGGGCAAAATTGACAGAGTGAGGTCAAAATGTCAGACACGGGAAACAGGGTGAATGTTAAGGTCGCAGAATCTGGTCAGGAGCCAGAAAAGTTACTGGTCGCCATGGGGGAATTCAGGAAGCTGGTGATGTCCTTCTTCGGCAGTCTGAAATGATCTTTGGTTTCTTGCTAATATTTGAAATAGATTTAGTGTGGGTACTGTGCAGGTAAATGTTGCAATCTAACTACATTGCATGTATTTGTATTGACTCAGGGCTGGCAGCTTGCCTCCTGTATCTGGAGTTTTTCTCCATCAATGCCCAGCGTACCGCCCTGGCCATCGCTGCCAACTGTTGTCAGACCATCACCCCAGAGGAGTTCCACATGGTACAGGGGTCCCTGGCACTCCTGTCATCAAGGCTTCAGCACCAGGTACTTTTTTTCATTTCAGGAAAAGAAGTATTGCTTTGGGTGGCTGAGCTGTGGGTTTGTGTGTCTGTCTGTCTAGAGAGTAGAGTGACAACATGAGGATCGGGAAGATTGACAGCCAGAATGACAGGAAGGTCACAGACACACAGGAAGTATGGTGAACTTGAAGGTCACAAAAACCCCCAAATGCTTCCCAGAAGTCTGAAATCAATGATTTCTTGTTCCTCTTTGTCAGTACACAGAGAAAACTCATTCCAAATACAGGTTTCATGGACAAACTGTACAGAGGTGTAGTAATAGAGAAGATGATATGTAAAATTGAATGATAACTGGGGAGAAGATATCATACACCACTAGTTAAGCATTTTATCTCTTCATAAAGACTACGGCTCTAAGGAATATCTTTAGTTATCTTTTGTTATTAGTACAATGCTTATCTTAACTCTCCCACTATAGGACAAGAAGTCAGTGGAGAGTGTCTGTCTTGCATTTGCCCGACTTGTGGACAACTTCCAACATGATGCCAAACTGCTGAAGGAACTGACAGCACATGGTCTACTCACCAACATACAGCAGCTCCTAGTGGTGTCACCACCAATCATTAGCACAGGTAAATCAGTGCTTGGATACAGGTACTGGGGTTTAGGTACAGGTCCAAATAATTCCAGAAGTGATGTAAAACCTTTTTGAATTACACCATACAATCTCTTCTACAGTTCTTACGTATTCTTGGAATCCCAAAATACTTCCTGGAACTTGTTGAAGTCTGAAATTTGCTATTTCTTTTTAAGTTATTGAATTAACATGCTTGGAATTTTTATACAGTGTCTTGAACGGTGTATCAAGGATAGTTCCCCCTTCACTTGTGCACATATTTCAACATCTCTGTTGCTGTGCTGTTTCAGGCACTTTCATCATGGTGATCCGCATGCTGTCCCTGATGTGTGCCTCCTGTCCTGAGCTGGCCGTGCAGCTTCTGAAACAGAACATCACAGACACCCTCAGATACCTGCTGGTCGGCCCGTCCGAGCCCCAGGCCAGTAATGAAGAATTTGAACTACTCCCTCGAACACCTCAAGAACTGTATGAGATCACATCCTTAATAGCGTGAGTATTGCTTGCAATTTTATGCTGCAGTCTTACCTACTTGAAATTGTACCTTTGATTACTTACGGGTACTTAAGAATTGTTTTGGGTGGCTGAGTTTATGGGTTTGTCTGTCGAAATAGCTTTTGTTGCATGGTGGGAGGGAGGTGATTTTGACATCCCATTTTGTCATTGACCTGTGAAGTGAACTATTTCTATGTAGAAAAAATTATGTGGACCATTTGTTATAAAACCACTCTTCTGAACTTGCTGTTCACAGCGAGCTGATGCCAAAGCTGCCGTCCGATGGTATCTTCTCGGTGGACGCCATGCTGAGAAAGAACAACAACACCAGTACAGACGAGGCCATCTGGCAGTGGCGGGACGACCGTGGCGTCTGGCACCCGTACACGCGCATCGACAACAGAATCGTAGAGGTAGGACACTGTTATATTGTCAATCAACAAGTATTCGCCAAGGTTTTACGTTCATGAATTTTGCAGTGACCTCTTGCAGCGGCTTCTTGTAATTTGTTCTGTTACAGCAGTAAGTTGGAATGAGAACCAGTCAATATTGCCCTAAGGAAGACAGCAGAAGAACTGTCAAACTGTTGGCATGTAAATCTATTGGTTGTACAAGCACTTTATTAACACACCATGAGTTTTGTAGAGAAATTTCGAGCTGCATAAGACCGCACATCTGGACTGTAAGGTTTGATCCAGTCACACCAGGATAGACCACTACTCTTTTCAATAAGTGTGGTGGGATCTTTAACGTGCTTGCAGTGTGGCTATCCTTAAACACAGGATCTCCTGCTTTACGTCCCATCTAATCTTGTGAGGAAATAGGAATAGTAAGTGCCTTTCTTTCTCAAGGGCACAACACTGGGACCTGATGGAATTTGAACACAGAACCTTGCGACCATAGCATAATGTCCTAAACATGTTTGTTGCTACAGGCTGCACACCAGTGTGGGGAAGATGAGATTAGCTTGTCTACCATGGGAAGAACCTACACCATCGACTTCAACTCCATGCAGCAGATAAATGAAGACACAGGCACAGCCAGGCCTGTACAGAGGAGACCCAACCAGGGAGGGACCAACTCTTCAGGTACTGTCTGTCATTACAATATTATTCAATCAGGTATTTCCCCCTGTTCATACAATATATTTCCCATGCATTCATGGATACCCAAAATACTTCCCTTAAGTCTGAAACTTCCTATCTCTTGTTTCCTCAGTGTCCCCAGATGAAGTGAAAGAAGATGCCCGTGCTGCTGTGTTGAAGGAGGATAAAGAGTTGGCCTCTGCGTTTATCCGTAGTCTGTTTGGGGTGTTGTATGAAGTGTACAGCTCCTCCGCAGGACCATCCATCAAACACAAGTCCCTCCGAGCCATACAGAGGGTCGTGTACTACGCTGATGCCGAGCTCCTCAAGGAAGTCCTGAAATCTTACGCTGTATCAAGGTACACATTAATAGTGGGACAATCTTAAACTGTTGACTCATCACTCAAAACACCCATATGTAACAATTAACTGTAAAGTTTTCTAGAAAACGGGTAAAATTGTTAACAACTTTCAAATTTTAAATTGTAGGTAGAATAGTTCAATTTAGGTTCTTATGATTGGAATATGAAATAACAGCATTTTACCTAAAGCCCACATTGAAGTAGGGCTAGATCGTTGGCTTGGTATTTGCAGTAAGTTTTCTGGTAAATTGCAATGTTGTAGGCAACAGAAGAAAAATGATGTCTCACCCAGCTGGTCTTTGCTTCATTTATTTTTTCCCATAAATGAATTAAGATAACTAAGATGTAATTTTGTCACTGCTGTAAGGAAGAAATAAAGTAATGAACAATGTCATGTTTCTACTTCAGCCATATCGCTGGGATGCTGTCCTCCCAGGACCTGAAGGTGGTGGTCGGAGCACTTCAGATGGCTGAAATCCTCATGCAGAAACTTCCCGACATATTCAGTGTCTTCTTCAGGAGAGAAGGTATGTCCAGTCATCGTTAATCATCTCCTTGTCCATTTACAACATAAAAAACAGTGTTGTATATAGACCCTATGCCGTGGTGGTAACATGGCAGAATTCAAGAGACACTTCTTAACGTCACCATAAATTTGACCTTGTTGCTGTCCAGGTGTGATGCACCAGGTGAAGAAGTTGACCAAGATAGACACGTCGGTTACCCCAGCCAGCTCCCCAATGAAGGAGTCTGCTCCAGGACCCTCCCAAGAACATGAGCCAGAGGATATCTATGCTCCACCCAAAGGGTAAGTTCTCTGGTATAGCCACTGCCTTTCAACACACAGGACATGGTTTCCTCTTTGTTTTTAAAAGCAAGATATAAGGCCAAGTCTGTGAAAATGTAAAAAGTTCTACTTGTCCTGGAAGTACCGGGTATTGTTTTGGGTGGCACTAACATATGTTAGGTTTGTATGCATGTGTTCCAAAGTGAGTAGGCAGAGATGTGTATTTGTCAATGATTGACAGGGTTTTGACCCAATATATATATGCCCTGGTTCAAGGATGTAGTTGCCAGAAATGTATGTATGAAACATAAACCATGCTGTAATAGCAAAGTAAGTTTAAAAATGCATGCTATGATGTCATTCATAAACACAAACTATATGTACTTGCGAGCAAATTTGACATGTCTGCCTTCTTGGTTTTGGTGTTGAACAGGAGACTGAGTGATGCCATGAAGAGAAAGTCAGGTCCCATCCCTAAGACAAGAAGTGCCAGAAGAAGATACTCTCCTTCTGCTGAGGAGCCTTCCAGCCCAGTGGCTGAAGCCCTGGATGTCTTCACACGATCGTCGGGAGCCAAAGGATTTGGAGGGAAAGGAACAGGAGCGAAAGGGAAGGGCTCTTCTGGACCAGGTGGGACAGTAGACTGTTATCTTATAGTTATAGCTGTAGTGGTAATTGTTTTTTCAAGGCTTTAATCCAGACATGGGGATTAATATTCTGACACTTATTTTCACTGCCAGGTACAGAAGTATTGTTTTGGGTGGTTTATGGGTTTGTCTGTCCTAATTGCTTTTGTCTGCCCTAATTCCATACTGGGTGGGAGGTGATTTTGACAGTTGATTGATAGGGAGGTCACATGAAAGTGGTCTAGCACATGCCTCCAGGAACTGGTGCAATACCCAATTAAATGACATCATACAGTCCCCCTATACAGTTCCCATAGCGCTTCCTACAAGTCTGTTAACTTGAAGGTGATGAAAACCCCAAAAAAGTATAAAACCTGTGATTTCTTGTTCCCTTAGGGAAGACAGGTGGCACATCTCCCAAGCCGTCCTTCCTGGCCAGTCTGAACCCCTCGCGCTGGGGGCGGGGCAGCACTGGTAGTACCAGCAGTGGAGCATCAGGCTCACCTACAGACAAGAATGCACCAAAGGTATGTGCACTAACATCGACAAATATTCACATCTTTGTTCATGTGAATTGTGATCATGGTGGTTTTATGTACATGTAAGGACATATTCACAGTGTTGTGAATTTGTGGTAGAGAAGTCACTGCAAAAATAAAACCACTGAAAGTTTCAGGATTTACAGTGAGTGCTGTGTTGCTTGACACCTTGGTATCAAACTCATTCATGTGTAATAATTATCCTTTTTTTGTGCATATACTGTTTTGAATTAGCTGTCGTTGCAATGTCCTGAATAAAAAAAAAGATGATTATCATTTTAGAAATGAGTTGAAAATTGAACCCAATGTTAAGCTTACATATGATTTTAATTTCTTACAGGACAGCTCCAGTCTTGGTCTTCCCCGTTCTTCCAGTAACCAAGGCCTAGCTTCAAACAAGGAGAAGATTAAACAGTGGATCAAAGACAGAGCCACCAAGTTTGAGAAGGATTACTTCAGCCATGAGACCCAGGGGATCAGCCACCCTGCTCTGGACGTGCTGAGAAGACTGTGTGATGCTGTGGAGAAGTTAGCTCTGGAGGTAGGGTGCTAGTCATTACAACAAGCATTTTAATTAATTTTTTTAGCTTAAAGCTATTGTTTTGGTTGGTTGAGTCATGGGTTTGTCTTTCCAAATATACTTGGTTTGCGGTTCACGGCCTCAGAAAAATAGACATGTTTGCGGAACTATATGTTCGCAATAGCAGCAGGTACAGAAATAAGAAAACTTGGCAAATTATTTGTTCATGGTAATGATAGGTTTACTTACAGAAGTGACCGAGAAAACCGCAAACATAAAATTACCGCATAAAAATCTTGATTTATAGTAGCTTCCATTACATGGTGGGTGGGAGATGATTTTAACAGTTGATTGGTTCACACTTGAATTTAATCCAAGATGTGCCAGATGGGAGTGTGTAGTATGCAAAGTGGTGTAATACCAGATTGAATTACAAGGGACGAATGACATCTGTGAACTGGAAGGTCACAAAATCCCAAAATACTTCCTGGATGTCTGAAATCTTGTATTTCTTGTTGTTATACAGAAGGACAGAGGGATTGACTGCCTGGTAGACATCAGCAGGATCGTGACTGACTCGGACGTCTCGCCGTTTGAGATCCAGCACAGCGGTCTGGTGAAGTCCCTCCTGGCCTACCTCACCAGTCAGAGTGAGAACGATGCCGTGACTCGGGCTGTCCGACTCAAGAGGTTCCTGCATGTTTTCCTGGACTGCCCTGTAAGTACTGAGAAGTTTGCACCACTGGTATTGAATTATTGTTTGGGGTGCCTGAGTTGTGGGGTTGCAAGGTGGGTGGAAGATGATTTCAACAGATAGATGATTGATAGCAAAGTCAAGCCTGAAGGCGATCCAGCATATGCCATTTGGGAATGAGTGAGAATTCAGAAAATGCTGTAATACCTGACTAAATTACACCATACAAACAGATTCTTATTTTGCAATATGTAATACTGAAGAACATATTTTTTTATATACCACTAGAGGCAATCAAGAATCAAGCACACTTACAAAGTGTGAAAAGCTTTTGAGTAATTCTGCTTTGTTGTCATTGTTGCACTATTGTGTTTTAAACGGTAATGTTACAAACATGTTGCAAATTGCTGACTCTTTCCCTATCCCGATGTTGTTGCAGGCCCCAGATGGCACAATGGTGGTGAAGAGTGTTGATCCCAGTAACCAGCCAGCGTTGTTCCCCCTGGTAGCCAAGCTGAACGGCTGTATTAACCAGCTGGAACAGTTCCCTGTCAAAGTGCACGACTTACCAGGGGGAGGGGCCGCCACTGGAAGGTATGGAAGAACTAACTGTGCAGAGTAGTCTTGAGAGTATCTTTTTAAGTTAACCAGTAGTTTAGCAGCACTAGCAGACTTCGATGCCATGATTGTTCTACTTTAGCCATACAAATTTGATTTGTGTATTTTGTCTGGCTTTTTGCAGCATGTCAATGAAGTAGGCAGGCTAAAAAAATCGGGTCTAGACTGTCATCCTGTTATAGTCTCAATTGCTACTACAGGAGCCAAAAAGTCCACATATTAGGCTGGTTTATAATTCAAGCACTGAATTTGGAACTTTAACCAAATCACTGTATTGGCAAATTGTTAACAACAAGGAGGACAGGAAATTTTTCCAACTGGGGGTGCGAAAATAAGAATATTTTGGAGTTTATTCAGGACCTGAATACCGGTAGGACATGTATTTTTTTTTCAAATCGCAAAAAAAATGTTGCCTTAGCATAATTGTACAGAAAGTCTTCAAATACTCAAATATCACAGTATAACTGTTCTTACCTCAACTCTTTGTTTAACTAGTCTATTATTGCTTGTATCCAGGGGTTCCCAAGCATTGAAATTCTTCAACACACATCAGCTCAAGTGTCAGCTCCAGAGGCACCCAGACTGTAAGAACGTTAAACAGTGGAAGGGTGGCCCTGTCAAGATTGACCCCCTGGCCCTGGTACAGGCCATCGAGAGATACCTGGTTGTCCGCGGTTACGGTAGAATACGGGACGGCGAGGACGAAGACAGCGACGAAGACGCATCCGACGATGACGTTGACGAATCTTTGGCAAGTGTTTCAACCGTAAAGTCACATCCATACATTCCACTTCTTGCTTGAAGTGTCACACCCTGTCCAAATGTTGTACCAAGTCTTCACTTAAAAAAAAACAATATAAAAACACAGCATAGCAGTTCATAGGCCTGCCGATGGTATACACTCTAAGCCTGGATGCCAGCCTTTTGAGCTTTAGTATGCTCTCTTTGTTTCTTCCTTGCTTGGACCCATACATATTCGGATAGATGCCCTGATTGGCCAAAAGTCAGCAGTATAGGATCATCCAATCAGGAGAGGGCCTGCCGATGGTGACACTTGAATTAGCTCATCACGTCTTTTTGGCAGGAAAGCAACAACAAGAGTTAAAAAGGCTGGCATCAAGGCTAATACATACCACAGGGTTCTATGGACAATGTTACTGGTACAATGTATGGATTGGCATTTGCAGTGGCCCTATATGCTGTGATACTCTATACTGTCTGCTTTGTACATGGGTGTAAGGTTTGTGCCTGCTCGAATGAGAAGAATGCTGTCTTGTCTTCCCACTACAATCCTGAGTGTTGTTGTGTCTGGCTGCTCTTCAGCCTTTTTTTTTGCTGTGAAAAAGTTTCCATGGATGAAGACATATTAAACCACATACCACATCCTAAATCACACACACCACGTGTTATACAGCTTGCTTACACTTGAAAGATGTTTCTGCATGTAGTGTTTTTGCTCTTTGCTCTAGAAAGCAGAATATCTGTTCTGTGCATATAACACCAGACTTTTGCAACTTCCATTTGTTACTCCACAGTACATGAAAACCCAAAACACTTTTCACAGAAGCCCAGCTTACTTCTTAGAAGTCTAAAACTCTTGTTGAATTTGTTATGCTCATGATTTTGGTCATAGTAAGAACTAGCAAACAACCAAAGCAAGTAGATTATTTCAGTATGTTCTAATTTTGCCCTTTCCATCTTCTTGCCACCCTAACAGATGGCCACCTTCTCTGGGCCGAACGTGCGTCACAGACTGCAGTTTTTCCTGAGTGACCACTTGCTTCCCTACAACATGACTGTGTACCAGGCCATACGGCAGTACGGCCAGACGACCGAGGAGGACAGGGAGACAGACGACGAGTCCAACCCACTGGGTAGAGCTGGGATCTGGATCAAGACTCATACCATATGGTAAGCTTGCTCACTGAGGACTGAAAGTTTGTGACAATTACTTACATAATGATACAGAAGTGTTATTTTGGGTGGCTGACTTTATGGTTTTGTCCGTCTGTCTTTACTTATTGCTTTCAGTTTCATGGTAGGTGTGAGGTGATTTTGACAGTTGATTGACAAAGGCGAAGGCATATGCCTTTAGGAAGCAGTGTAATACCTGATTGAATTACATCATACAATCCCTTTCACTGTTCCCAAAACTCTTCCAAAAGGTCTGTGAATGTGAGGTCTGAAATCTTTGATTTGTTGTTGGTCATAGCATGATATCACATGTACATTGTTGGGTTTTCCCTCTCTCTCAGGTACAAACCAGTCCCCTTGGATGAGGACAGTAAGACAGAACTAGTGGCCGCTGCCTCAGCTACCAAGAAGGGGAAAGGCACTTCCCCCAACAAGGGGCCGGCCAAAGTAGCAGCCAGGAAACACGACGAGCTGTGGAATGGTAGCTACCACATTCATACCATGTTCTAGTACTTCAGAACATCAGTAATTTTTATGCAGTTTATGCTATTCACTTCCAGATATGAAAGTAGAGTTGTGGGTTTATCGTCTCTGTTTGAGCTAATACCTTAGTTGCATGGTGGGTAGGAGTTGATTGATATAGACAGCTAACACCTGAAGGTGATTCAGCATGCACCAGATGGGAGTAAGTGGGCAATATTTGGAGGAATTCAGAGGGCTGTGTAATACCCAATTGAATGACATCATACATTGTACAATCCCCTCCACATTCCAATACCCAGAACATTCCCAGATGTCTTTGAACTTGAAGGTCATAAAAACCTTGGCAGTTTCTGTACTATGATGATTGCAATTCATCAACCGTCTTGGTGGTTTGTTTTTTCTTTCTTCCAGAGGGAGTGTGTCCAGCTCCTGTATCCCCCCTGAAACCCCTGCTGGTGCCAACCCTCCCAGGAAATGTCCGAATCGACGACCCGTCCCTGGAGGTCATCTGTTTAATGAGGGTGATCCATGCCCTTAACAGATATTGGTACACATTATTTGAGGCAAGTTTGGGTCTTACTCTATTCTTCCACTGACAGATTTTTCAAAGGTATGACAAAATGTTCTGAGAGTTAGATAGATGGATGGTTTGTAGGGCTGTGTTTGTATTACCTGTTAAAATAATCTAGGTACAAGTCCAGACCTGAACATCTGGTGTACCTGTACCTGAACAAAAGAAAATATGAGTGAACACCATTTTTTACACTAAAGATTAACACTAAGAATTACATCTCAAAGATGACAATTTTTGAGAATTTTTTCTGCCCTCCCTCCCACAGAATGCACCCACAAAGCCCATCCTGCCCCCAGCAGATTTCATCAACAGTAAACTCACAGCAAAGGCCACAAGGCAACTCCAGGACCCTCTTGTCATCATGACTGGCAACCTCCCACCCTGGTTGGTGGAGATAGGCAAAGCCTGGTGAGTCATACTGGAATATTTTTTACACAAAATTCATATTCCATTAACTGTGGTTAAATGAGTTGTGGATTTGTGTCTCTGCTTGTCCTAGTACTAGTAACTTAGGTTGCATGGTGGGTGGAAGATGATTTTGATAGTTGATTGACAACCTCGCATAATGTTTTTCCAGCCCTTTCTTACTTCCATTTGACACGCGGCAAACCCTTTTCTACATGACGTCGTTTGACCGAGACCGTGCTATGCAGAAGCTGCAGGACAGCTCGCCTGAAGTCACCAGTACGGACTCCACAGATAGCAGAGTGGCCCCCAGACTAGATAGGAGAAAGGTACATCTATGGCTGTTCTGTGCAGCGGCAATGCTATGTTGTACTGGTCTTGTTTTTGTTTGTGCAATGTTCGGAACTACATTCGGATTCAGTTTAGCGTGGCTGAGCTATGGGTTTGTGCACCTGTGTGTCTGTACAGAGTAGGTTGAGAGCACATGGATGGGGGAAATTGGCAGACAGAATGACAGTAGGTTAAGTCTATATCTTCAACACTGTGTTTATTCTGTTCCTTTCTCACAGAGAACCGTTTCTAGAGAAGACTTGTTGAAGCAGGCTGAGTCAGTTATGAATGACCTTGGTAACTCCAGGGCCATGTTGGAGATACAGTATGAAAATGAGGTGAGCAAACTGCTTAAACTCGATACCGCCATCCCCCCCGCCCAAAGTAACAGTGCATTGTTGTTGTTATGACCTTTTGATTGAGCCAAACATCTGTTTTCTTTTCACATAACCAGTAGATCCTTTAGATCTAACACACCTGTTTTGTATAGTATGTACAACCTGTGTAAGACCTGACTGTAAAGTTTCATCCACTCACACTGGGATGGACTCCTACTCTTCAATGTGATTAGGGCTCTCCTCATAGGGCTGTGTCCAATCTGTATCTGTATAGCCGGTATAACAGCCTTTCGGCGTAACGCACCATTGAATCTAAACAAAATCTAGGTACTCATTTTCACAGAGTCCTGTGAGGAAATGGGTCTAAAATGCCTTTCAGAATGACACACAACATTGGGTCTGCTAGGGATTTGAACCTGGAACCTTTAGATTTTAAGTCAAATACATGTACATGTACCCTAACTGTACATGTTGTCCATGTCAGGTTGGGACAGGGCTAGGGCCGACCCTGGAGTTCTATGCACTGGTGTCTAGAGAGGTACAGAGAGCAGACCTGGACCTGTGGAGAGGAGAGGCTGTGCCACTCCCAGACTCTAAAGGTGAACAAGCAACAGTACCAGCTGAATGCCTGCTTAGCTGCAATGCCTCAGGGATGGAGACATTTTTCCGTCATGTATGGAAGGAGTGCAGAACAAAACTTTGCACATATTGATTGAAGATGTGTCTTTCATTTTTATATGCCTTCTCCATTCATGTCCAATATTTCTTCAACTCTACTTAAGATTTTTGCTGATGATATTTTGCTGACTTGTTGACATCGCTTGTTTGTCTTTCCCACAGGGAACCAAGACGGAACTTTGTATGTGCATTCCTCATTGGGACTCTTCCCACAGCCCTACGGCAGAACAGCCAAGCTCGGTCACGTGACCAAGGCTAAGATCAAGTTTAGATTCATAGGAAAGTTCATGGCCAAGGCTCTCATGGACTCAAGAATGGTGAGCAACATGCACAACTATAGTGAAAATGACTGCCAGGCAGTAATGTAGAGGGCTCAGTACACCTTTACAACCTCTCCTCTCTGTATAGGAATGGCTTGTACAGATATGGTTGACAGGTACTACAGAGTAGGTTGACAACACATGGGGGATGATTGACAGGTAGAATAACAGGACCTGGCTAAAGATCAGGAAATGGAGTGAGCTTGAAAGTAGATTGACAGCACATGGTTAGATTGACATACAGAATGACAGGAGGTCAAATGGTAAACTAGGTCACAAAGACCTCAAGTACTTCCCAGAAGTCTGAAATCTCTGATTTCTTGTTTCCATGGTAGATATTGCCCTTTGCTTGTCATGAACTTGAGTAAAGTACATGTATGTCTTTTTTGTGGACTGTCTTCCTTACCTTTGTTTCATGTTTTGCCACATCGTTGTTGCAGGTTGACTTCCCACTGAGTCTGCCGTTCTACAAGTGGGTGCTAGGGCAGGAAGCCTCCCTCTCTGTCACAGATATACAGGTTGGTTTGTTTCACATTACCAGTAAACTGTCTTTAGGCATGACAGGCCAGTTTTGTACATAGCTGCATATCCTTACAAGCTGCATAGTCACAACATTTACATTCTTAGTCAACAACCTAACCTATAATGTATGGTGCAAACATTTTTTCCTTGCAGTATCTGGACCCAGTTGTTGCCAAGTCAGTGTCCCAGCTGGTGGACGTGCTCAGGCAAAAGTCTCGTCTCCAAGAGGACAAAGCACATGTGAGTACGCTGCAATCTGTTTCTGTCAAGTTTTTGTGTATCAATGTCTTGTTGTGGATGATAAAACACTGTATCAATGTATTTTCTTACTTCTGGTTGCAGAAGTATTGTTTTGGGTGGCTCAGTTTATGGGTTTGTCTGTTTGGCCTGATTGCTTTTGGTTTCCTGGTGCTGCCTACCCCTGGGACCCCACACAGCAGTAGAATCAAAGCCTGGATAGTGAATGGGTAGGAGGTGATTTTGACAGTTGATTGAAGGTGACCCAACAGGTGCCTTTTCAGGAAGTGGTGTAATACCCCAATCAAAGTACATCATACAACTCCCTCCACGGTTCTCAAAAGAGGTCTGTGAACTTGAACGCCACGAAAATGCAAAATGTAATTTCATGTGTTCTCCTTGCAGACTGCACAGAGCCTGCAGCTGGCCCTGGAAAGCCTGACGTTAGACGGGTGTAGAATAGAGGATCTGGATCTGGACTTCACGTTACCTGGGCACCCCAATATAGAACTGAAGAAGGGAGGCAAGGACATCCCTGTCACTATACACAATCTGGAGGAGTATGTCAAGGTATGAAGGGATGGAATTCTGTTGCAGAATTTTCTTAAAATAGAAGTTGAATTCTGCTGTTATTACACTGAAATTAATTACACAGTAACATTTACATGTATGTTCACATTCCTCCAGCTTGTAATTCACTGGACGTTGATAGAGGGCGTTTCAAGACAGTTTGAATCGTTCAGAGAGGGATTCGAGTCCGTCTTCCCCATGTCCCATCTGCAATACTTTTATCCTGAAGAGGTAAGTGAATTAGAGCAGCACAGTACAGGATTCCATGCTTTGCTTCATCCTACAAATGTTGTATATGTATGTTGTGACTATATTCATGTGCCATTTGTACGATTAACAGTTAGTAGAATATTCATCAATCAGTGACAGTGTTTTTTAATGATTGATGAATATTCTACCAACGTAACCGCCGTTTCTCACCAGCTTGACCAGCTGTTCTGCGGGAACAAGACGGAGCCGTGGGACATGAAGATGCTGATGGAGACGTGCAGACCAGACCATGGCTACTCCCACGACAGCCGCTCCGTCAAACACCTGTTTGAGATCATGAGCAACTTCGACAGCGATGAACAGCGAGAGTTCCTGCTGTTTGTTACAGGCAGCCCCAGACTCCCAGTTGGAGGTGAGTGACTTAAACCAGCTGGTGTAGCTGACTTTGAAGCTAAATCTTAGAAGAGAAGTCTTAGTTAGCCACAGTTTATTTCACAAAATGGAAGGAAAAAGCTGTTATGATTGGAAGTGAGTGGGACGAGACTGCGTTACAATTCACTTGATTGAAGGGGTTGTAGGTAAGCCCTGGGTGGTAGGATGTGGTTTGTGGTTGCTAGAAATGTGGTTTGTGGTTGCTAGAAATGTGTACTGTGTAATCATGGTATGAAACATTACCTTATTTTTCTCCTGAAATGCAGGATACCGTGCCCTGAACCCTCCCCTCACCATCGTCCGCAAAGCCGTGGAAGCACCAGAAAACCCCGACGACTTCCTCCCATCTGTCATGACCTGTGTCAACTACCTGAAACTCCCAGACTACACGTCCATTGAAGTCATGGCCAACAAGCTCCGAACAGCTATGAAAGAAGGGCAACACTCCTTCCACCTCTCATAGTACTCCCTGAAGTAACATGTCATTCGATTTTTAGTATCCTTTTTGTTGCCATCACACAGTAAGCCACCACAGCCCCCAAACTGACCGTCAACAGCACAATTGGTGGTGTTGAGAAGGTGTTACAGATGAATCATTAACAAGGGCATTCCAAGGGACGTTGTGGCATGGCATTCGAAAGAGCTCACATGTATGCCAAGTCATCCTCAGAAGGCAAATAAAAGTCCACCAGGGGCAAATGACTGACAGACCATTCATTATGATAGTGTTTTTCAAGGAATATGATTCCATGAACTGAAATTGTAAGAATTGTATATTGAGACAAATCCATCATATTTTAACCTTCCTTCCAAAGTACCACATTTCACATCCAGAAGTACAGATACGCAAAGTACAAAATTCTACACAAGGCTTGAAACAACGGACAGCTTTGAACGTTTACTATGTCGCAGTTCACTGCAATCTGCATTGTACTATGTACAAGGTCAACTATCCCCCCTTCAACTCCATTGTATGTAACTAAAACTTACCCTTATGTTTTCCACAATTGTCGCCAATGTAGAGATGCATATCATTTTTAACACTTTGTTCAAAACACATGAAAGTTTATCAAACTGTTCTCCAACTCAAATAATTAACAAAAGTGCTTCAGTCAAAAATTTCAGTTATTCTTTGAATAGGAGAACAGTTTAAGTTACATCATCTCCATTTTCACTCCTGTATTTCTATACTGGCAATGTCTTTTGCAGGCAAATCTATCACTATAGCAATCCTGGCACTTACTGTCCTTAGGATTTTTCTCTTATCCAGCCAGCTTCAACATTGTAAAGGTGTCTACGCCGTATTTTCTATGCTTCGCAAAACATTCGGTAAGTTACATATGCCTTGAACAATCTGTGACTTTCATTCCTGACTTCTTTAGGTAGCCTAGTAAACTAGAATTACACTATGGTTCTTCCAATATCAGCTTTTGGGGACTACAACACTTCACTGCAGTTCCCTATCTCATGTTGAAATACAAACATTACCAAAAACCATCAACAAAACCTGAAATCTTTAAGAGTCTGTATAGTGATACTCAGTTAGCAGTGGTTAGGCCTGTTTTGGAGACTTTTTTTTTTAGCTTTTATGGCATATTGTTAGGCCTTCTATTTTGTGAGTTTCTCTTCGGGTATCCGAAAGGTAACAAAATAAAAAGCCTGACAAAGTGAAAAAAAATTCAACTCTACTTGGAGAGTAATACCGGTATAATGATAACGTACTAAGTCATGTAAAATACCACATACATACATACATCTGGAAGTGTGCCATAAAGGTATAGTATATCACGAACACAGTACATCACTACTTCACATGTTACATCCAAATTAGTCAGGCATGTACAACATGTGATAACCAACTGCTTGTGACATATTGAGGTGTGCTATGTGAACACAACTCTAGCACCATGTTTTCACCAGAATTGTCACAGACATAGTCAAAAATGGGTCAACGCAATCTTACTGGTCATAACTGTATTATCTAGTAGGGGGGAATAACTATATGGCTACGGAACAATTGTGGAAAACATTTTATTTTTACAGAACTATCCGCACTAACGTTGCAACTAACAAAGAAGTGTTCTTGTATACTTGACAATGTACTTCTTCCTACCTGACAAAAAAACAAAATACTGTTCCCAAGTCAAGTGTGTTTTTAAGTTGAACAGCATTTCATATTATTCTGTCAACATGGAGTCTTCTGTTGCATTTTCACTCCTTGTCGATGTGCTTTCGTGTACAGGCAGTTGCAAGCTATGTACAGATTCGAGGTTTGGTGCCTTGATACAGCGTACTATGGAAAAAACAAGTTGCCAAGGCTTCAGACCATTGCTGGAAAAAAAAAAGCACATTTCCTGGTAACAATACATACTAAACAGTCAAGTATTCTCTTTTCTTGTTCGCCTTTTACTTTATGAATTTTTTGGATGTGTCTCCTACTCTATCGATGCTGGGTATTTTCATGGAAACAAATGACAGCAATAACTATGTGCAAACTTGATAAACAATTGACAAAGTTTGTAAGTGCTGCCAGCATTGCAAAAGCTGTAATATATTTATTTCCTCATATTCTGAAGCTAAGTGAGGATTTACAAAAGAACGTTGAAAAAGGAAAGTCTTTTCACTTGTTACTATTCTGTGTAGTTGAGTTAGTTCAAGGTATAAATTTGTTCATTTTTGTCTTGTCAAATTTAGTGTAGTTTTGCCATTTCATTTGTTAAGACGATGTAGAATTGTGTATGGAGATTGATCAGCTCCAGTATGGACATTTTCAACTCAAAGTGGAATTAAACTTTATTTGCAAAATGTCCGCAAAATATATTTCCAGTGTTCCTTTCTGTGTCCTGACTTAGTAAGTTAGTACATGATAAGGAATGTAATACTTGTCAGTACTTTCGGCCTGCGTATGGAAGTATTGTTTTGGGTGGCTGAGCTTTGAGTTTGTGAGTGTGTCTCATCAGGCAGAGTAGGTTGACAGCATGTACATGTAGTTTGGTTTGAAGATTGACCAGCAGAATGACAGGTCAAAAGGTCAGAGTAAATGGGGTGAACTTGAAGGTTGAGAAGTTGAAACCTAGATTACTTTGCAGATGTCTTGAATCTCCGATATCTTACTCCAAGGGCTGTGTTACATATGTAGAAAGAGACTCATCTTTCTAAATTCTATAAAAACCCCTGATTTCAATAAATGCTGTCAATATACTATTACATTATACCGATGATGACTGAACTGGGTCCAGAATACGTTAATCTCTAAGCAGAGGTAGGAAGGCGAGGATCAGAGATACATGTACAAACGCGGGCCACTAGAAAGACGTAGAAAATGCCTCATAAACACGCGTAAATGACTGTGCCGAACCCTCCATCTGCTTAGATTGCAGAGTCGAGATGCCCCGCTAGGGGTATGCTGCACGTAAATAGCTCTTTCAAGCAGTGTCAACATTTCTTGGTGTCTGCGCTTTATCCGCCTCTTCACAGCGTTCCGAAAAGACGTTTGTGGACTGGACGTTTGTAGCAAATATCTGACCGAGTGCCTTGTGTGTTCTGGATATAACGTATAGATATTCTACTGATACCGTTTGATGTAAAGTCAGGTGTTTGCTGATTTACCAAGCTGGCAAAGTTTCATTTACTGTGGACAAAGTACATTGAACACCTTGCACTTACCGTTCTGCTATCCCTGCATTTTTTTGCGTAAAAGAGAATCGTGTAATTATAAATGTAGTAAAATACGTCGATTTTGTTAAGCTTTGAAAACTTGCTTCAGACAGGCCGTATTTGTAAACCTCTTGAAGGGTCCTTGTCTTATAACCTTGCTCTCTGTGATACGTGAACTGAAGGGGTTGAAGAGAACATTCTTGCTTGTTTCCTGTGTATTGATTCAATCTTGAATGCAAGGGCAGAGCTAGACTTCCAGACATAATATTTGAGTAAGGCCCACGCCGTAAGCTCAACACCATCACCCATTTATTTGCCCACCTTGTCGAACTCCTAAGTCCAACTCATACAACCAAAGCAGGCTAGAGCGGCACAACAAAGTGTCTTTTGTTGTATCTGCAAAATATCGTCTGCGCCAAAAAAATTTCCAAATCCGCCGTTTCCACGCTAGAGAATGGCGCAGCGTTTTGGGAGGTAAAATTTGCTTTGAATCTCTTATTCCCGAAGACACTGAGTTAAACCAGGCGTGTAACATAATCTGCCTGGGTCTCACCTGAGCGGCTTAGCCGGCTTTCATATGCAAATTTAGTTTTCACCATGGCAACGGTCACGTGATGACAACCTGTGCGTGCTTGGTGACCGGCAAAGGGCATAGAGGTTCATTCAGACTAGAAGCCAGGCGACTTGCGGGAGGGTTTTCGTGTAATTTCTTCGCGGATTTTCTCGGCAAAGTTTGAAGATGCACCGCGCCTACCAGCCCATCACTCCAGCGGGGAACAAGCTGTTACAGCAAAAATGGGACGACAAGTACTACAACGAACACAGGGACCTCGTAAGTCCATTTTGTGTGGTCTAGGAAAATTTTCAGTGGAGACATAACGCTAGTAGCAGAGCATTTCCGGAATATTTCTTTCTTAAGGCTGAGGAAGAGTATAGCTGTATCCGGAAGTTTTGATATTGTTTTAGCATGTTAAGTACAATTTAGTTATTGTGATGTCGCGTCTGTATAGTTTTTGTGGCAGTATATTTAAAAGGGGAGGAATATATTCCCGTTTGGGACGTTTCAACCCACACGGTCGCCATGGTAGTGTAGAATGACCTCAGAAACTTCCATATAAGCCTTTGTCGACTCGTTCTTATTCTGTGCGTAAAAGTTGTCTGTCAAACATTTATTTTCTCCAACAGAATACCAACTTCTAACGATTTTGGCCAAGCGGTTTACTTGTGTTTCTAAAACATTCAAACTTTTGACATGGTTGACTAACACAACAACATATAAAGAGGCCCCCTTAAAATCGATCTTGTTTTAAGTTTTCACGGTCTAAATTTGATACCCGGATCCCGAACTATGCCGACCAATTCACGAGAAAATTGCGCCCAATTCTAGACGAGTTCTGTTTGTGCAACAATTAGGCACAACTTGTTCAAATATCAGGCTCGGAGGCACAGGTCTAATCAACAGCCTGTTTACTGTACTTAGGTGCACTGATAGCTACAATTTGACGCACAATTAAGACATATTGAGCCCAAATCAAGGCACCATCATATTTTATTTAAGGGCGTGCATTTGCTGGTGTATTGTTTTTATTGTGTGCAATGCTCTTAAGGGTTGTCATAAAAACATAAAAACTTTTTCAAGGAGAGTTGAAGCTGATGGAAAATGTTTGTAAAGAAAGACAAACAAGGTAAGATACCTCAACAAAAGATTGAAAACATGTGAAGATATATTAAACCTCTGTGCTGAATAAGCAAAAAAATCATGGTACTGGTAGCTTAAAACAATTGAACAACTAAAATAGCTTTATGTACGATGTGTATCATATAGTATGCAATGACTACATTGTATTTTTTTGTTTTGAATTTCAGGTTCGGACAGCCAAACCGATGGTGGATACAAAAGCCCCTCGTACCTACGTGCACATGCACATGAAGCTCAGAAAACTACAGGTGAGATATTCATCTTGGAATGACTAATTAAAAACTTCAGGTGTTGAGACACTTTCATTATAACTTGAGGTGTTAATTGGAAACAAGAAATTACTTAATGTATTTATCTTTGCAGTGGTTTATTTTGCAGTAAAGGACAGAAAAGGAGGTTTCTGCACTGTTTGAAAATCGTGGTTGAAACACGTTCTGTATTACAGTACAGCTATAAAACACATATTTCGCAGTAAGAGGTCACTGGAAAAATAAAGCCACTGAGAAAGTTTCATCTGATTCATTGTTTGTCTGCTGTGGGTCATATCTGAGCAAAAATATGAAATGTCAAGCAGAGATCAAGTTTAATCCAGCTGTTATGACTTTCTTCCATTCAACACTGGAATTTAAGTTTGTTAACATTGTTCTTAAAAGCTCGTTTATAATTTTAACTAGTTGAAAGTTGAAAGTTGAAAGTTATAATAAATTGGATTGGTCAAACCGTGCATTGTTTTCACAGTAAGATTTTACAGTACTATACCACAAGGTTCTGTTAACCAGGTGCTCAATGGTACCCTCCAAGCAGTGGTTTAAGGCCTGTTTTTTATCCCTTGTTTTTTTATAGCTTTTTAAGATGTTTTGTCAGGCTTTCTATTTTGTCAGCTTTCTTTTGGTATCATGGACAGAGTAACAGCCAACAACGTCGAATTAGCCTGACAGCTAAAAAAATATTCCCAAACAGGCTTAAACTCTGGAGAGTACTCGAGGTGTTGCTTTACTAGTGTAGAGCATGACGCCTGCATTTTTGGCAGAACTTTCCCCTGATTCAGACCCAGTCACCCGCAGCACTGCTCCACTCAGTACCAGCCTGTAATGTGACCTTCGGACAGTCACACTGCATGTCTGTGTCTCTGTGTACTCACCTCTCCTGGACGACACACTTCTTCAATAGCTTGCGGAGGCCGGTTAATTAGTTTATTCCCCTGAAAATGTTCACAAAAGCCTTTCTAGCATCCGTTTTATGAGGGTCGTAGACATTTTCACCGGGCACTGAAGTTTCTATAGCAACCAAAACACACAGTCATCTGCATTAGGCAAATATGCTCAAATATGCTATAAGTATGGACTGTTTTAAAAGCGCTGACTGTGACTGATCGTAGCTCCTACTGTACAAAGGCATACTGTTCTGTAATTTTTACAAGGTCTTCCAAACTTCCAAAGGGTTTAGTACAGATAGTAAAGTTCAAGACAAATAGTGATTGACTGGCCACCAGGGTGAACCAGTCCTGGCACACCTAGCCTGTACTTAGACCCTCGCATGTAAATTATGGTGCACATATATGCACAAAATACCTGATCGTCCATACAATTCAGAAGCCCCTTTATCATTGAGCACATAGTAGGTGATATTTCATGGTTCTAAATCATGTCAAGAAAACTTAATTACCCTGACAAAAAAGAGCAAACTTTTCATCTTAAACATAGGACCAACAGCTAAGACCGCATGCCTTCCAATTGCAACCCCTATTAGTAGCCAAAATCTTGATAAGGCCTTTTGATGCCAAAGTTGTATTACTAGTCACTATACCAACTACCACAACTTAGGGTTGGAAGGAAAGAAGGCTACATAGCTAATGGAACTTAAGAGCATCCCAAAAGGAGGGCATTGTTGTTTGTAAATAAATCAGCAGGGCAGAATGATCTCATTCTCATCTATAGTATACTTTACACCTGTGGACTTTGTGTTTAGCCAGCATAATATGAGTCATCTAACACTTTGGGGTCGGCGATGTTACCCTTTCTATAGTTCTGTAGAAAACTTTACGTAGTGACGTACAATTAGCAACATAAGCACTGAAAACTCAAGAGGTTTCTTTGTGGAAGTAAGAACGGTGATCGTGCTTGACGTACGTCACCTTTTAGCGCACAATGGACAATGTTTTCTGGTAGTGATTTCAAGTAATGGCATGCGAAAGCCTCTGTTTTCAAAACAATGGCAACAAGATATGCGTCAAAACTAATGCTGTTGAACTAGAAGCATTTTTTTCTTATGAGCTTAATGGTTTTTGATTTCTACATCGTTCATTTGATACAAAGTCTGGAAAAAATCAAGATATGATTTAAGAAATCTGTCAATGACAATAATTGAATAGTATGCAGGTTGAAAACTGGTATTGTTTGTAGTCAAAACAGGCGTTGTTGACACAACAGTATGGCACATCTGCGGGTTTGTTTGCATGTTGTCCATGGCTGGGACCCTGTATTGTATGCACGCTGTCAGTCAACCACGGTCACGGTGTGCCGTTCCCTGGTATTCCTCTACAGTCCACAAATAAAGAACGAAATGAAGTCCCCACAATCAGTATAACATGCACTTAGACTTCTTTGCCTACTTTATTACAAAGGCCCAAAAAATTCATAAATCAATGGTCAATTGTCAAGAAATATCAACATGCGTAGCCTGACTGTATCAACAAACTGGTTGCTAGCCTGTAGAGAAAACCAGACAAAAGTTACTGTGAATTTGGTTTCAGTCTGAAACGTCTTGCTGCAGTTCATTTTCAAAGTTAGAAAAATTGTCTTCAACATCAACTTTAAATGCATTTGTTTGATTACATTCACTGGATGAATGCAACTTCATTCAAGAAAAGCATATATAGTTTGACAAAAACACCTGATTAGCTTAAGGAATATTTTTTGCTTGCCTGCAGGCATTATTAGGTGTCAGTTGTGAGAAAATTGGTGTAATTTAGCAGATGACATCATCTTTTGTGACATGTCAAGTTGCCAAGCTGTCATCAGTATGAGTATGTGTCATTTGACATTTGCAAGTGTCAGAAGTAACTTTTCAAATCAGGAAGGTTTTTAGGGCTATGGCAGCTCTCTTTTATTAGAACATTTTTAGGAACAAATTTGTAGAAAATTACAGGACCTGAGTTAATCCTTATTCCAGGTGTGGCAGACAGTAGATAGCATCTTTCCTTTTTCCATCCATTCAACACAATTTTCTGGTGTATGAACTAACGACTTAGCCTTTTGTTGTAAAAATATAGGGTTTAAAAGCTTATTAGATGGCAAGTGATTGTATTAGCAAGGTAATAACTGAAATCATCTTTTGTACATGCAAGAATACCATCAGTCAAAAATGAACTGAAGACATAAAAAGCTATAGACACAAGCATTATTCAGGAGTTGTCATTTTAGAAAAGGCATTTTTGGGGAGGACAGTTTTGTAAGTAGAAGTATCATTCAAAAATAATTCTTTTTGAAAAATATATTGCAAACACAGTGTCAAACGTAAGAATTATGGCATGAGTTTTTGCTTGCCAAATACAGTTAAGTTTAGCTTGATATCCGATATATCTAGTATGTACTAGCATTAGTGATTCCAATTCCCCCAGTGGTGCCTGTACCAACTTTGTGGAAAATGTGGTCACCATTGCGGCACTGCAACATAAAATATTCATAAAACTTCATATCACATTAGTTTCACACAGACAGCACACAGGCCAAATCATTACTCAAGGAAATACGCCTTTGTCACAACTGACCCCCAACTGACAGACTTCAACATTTATCACGATTATGAAATTCATTGCAACCCTTTATTTAAACCTCCTTGTACACACATGTAATGGCGTTTAGAAGAATGATGGATATCCAAATAGCACTGAGATATAAATATTTAATATAACAAGTGGTTTGTAAGAAGGGTTGGACCAATTGTTTTTTTACAGTTACTTAGAGGTCATAAAATCTCTAGGGCCAGTCAGTACCTACCTACCTACCTACCTACCTGGTATTACAGTAATTTAAACTTTGAAACGTTCGTGGGTTTTTTTTTTAGCGTCTTTGCAGTGACCTCTGTACTACCAAGACACTGCTAATGTGTGTTTCCAATGCACTACTCTTAAAAGCAAATAACTACAAATTCTGAAATGTTTCAAATTCAAATTTAAACAGCCGTAAAAACTCTCTTTCCCTAAGCGTTCTACTGCGAAGTAGAGTCACTGTAAAAGTGAATTCATTTACTTTGTGTATTAAAGAACTAAGCTGTTCTTAACTAATAATATGGAATACAAAAATATGCCATCCATCCTCAGGCTGACGATCTTACATTTCCAATCCCTTCAAATTGCAGAAATCCTTTTTATTTTTGTTGTCACTTAATTATTTTCATGAAAATATGAGATGGAAATATTTATAGCAACCACTTACTATTGGGTACATGATAGTCATACGGTCTAAATTTGTTCGGTATAGGTCTTACTAACATATTCACCAGTTAAGTAACCTTAAATCCCTGCTTTCATACTTGATTTCTTTGTTTATGTGTTCCCATGGTAACCGCTCTTAACTGTCCCCATCATAATTACAGGTCTCAAGTTAACTTTTATCCGTGGAAAGTATCCAGAAAATTAGTGGCCCCGGCCCCTAAGCCTGAGTTAAGTTAGCACACCTGTGATACCTTTGAATATTTGCAAGACTTGATTGTTATGCATCATGGCATTTGAATGGGGCCTAGGATACACAAAGAAGTCTTGCATTATTGTATATAGGGCATTGATGATAAAACCCAGTTACTTACGTCATACGATGCACATACGGTGTTTTTTTCCCACAATGATATTGTTGTATGTTCAAGAAGAAATGGGTGTGATAGATTTTGCTTTTTTGAACTTCTCAAATCTACAATATAAAGCACAGTTGTCACAGAAAACCCTTCATCGCGTGTGCTTCATACTACATATGTCACCCGGGGCTTAAGTTGGTAAAAAGTACTAGACAGTATTGTTGAGCTAAATACCCTGACGTAAGCCGGCAACAACGTTCTATTTTGACAAGAGCTTACTTTTCCTTTGGACTTTGTAGCTCAGATTTCAAGCAAGACTTTCTGTGTTAAGTCAGTGAAAAGTGGGTACAGTGGGTGACTTTAAGTGGGCTTTTCACAGCGGATGTGAGAAGTCTTGTCAGAAAAGGGTCCTTACACAACATTGAGTCATTTCTCAACTGATATAAGTAAACAAGTGTCTGCCTTTTTCAGAGGTGAAACAAGTTTCTTATGTAACACCCTTCTTGTGGAGAAATGTGTGGGTAAATTAAAGTGCATGTGTTGGATATCGATTGGTCAGCTGCCAACTTGTGTTCTTTGATCTTCACCAGACCATAAAAGAAAATCCTGACAACATAAAAGGCTCTTTTAACACCATTGAATGTACATGTATCTCCACCTGTATTTTAGACCAGGTTTGAACCACTAACACCTGGAAGGACCCCTACTCTTTTTGATAAGTATGGTGGGTTCTTTAACATGCTCAAGGTGTGTCTCATCTGAGAATATGTCCCTAACTTAACGAATCTAGGAACTCTTTATTTTCAGTGAGTCTAGTGAGGAAATACATGTAATCGTTAAAGGCCTTTCCCAATGGATCTGAAGTGGCCAGAGCTTTTGAAATTATACCACCAATATTCTGATTAACTGCAATTTTTTTGTTTCCTTGTTACCTTAGTTGGAGGAGGAGAGACTGGCCACCATTGAGAGAGACAACCGCATCCTACTGGAGAAAATGTCGCACATCATGCGCACACGGGGCCGCGTGGACAACCGGAACGAGTACGAGCACCACAGGTCAGGGGCCAAGTCACAGGCTTTTAGTTAGTCACTATTTTTGAGGTTCACCTCTTGTACATGTATGAAGTGGTCCCTAAGTGTTGATTCCCTGGTCCAGTCTAGTGCATGGCGTACTTCAGGAAACAAAAAGAGATTAGGTCCAAAATAGGGACACACAAGCAGAGGCTTGCAGTAATAGGGAAAATGGTCCACGTTTGATTGTTTTGCTCAACCTTTTTCTTGCTCTTGGCTGGCATATCCATACATCGAAACATGTTTTGGACCAGGATATAAAGTCATCAAGGAACCAATAACTGCAAATTGCTAAACTTTTGCAGTAGGAGGTTTTCAATTCGCAGTTGTAACAATTCTATACTGCAGTACGCATACAAGGAAGACATATTTGCCATGTCATGAATTCCTTTTGGAGAGGTAAATGCAAAAGAAAAACAACAAGTACAAGTACCTACATAGATATATATTGAATACCATTTCAAATGTTTTTACTAACAGTCTGAACCGTGAGAAGCGTCAGCGGGAGTTGATGCGCATCACTAAGGAGAACCAGGAGATCCTGAAGCGAATCATGAAGCGAGAGCCAGAGTACGACCACGCCAAGTGGCAGCGGGACTGGGAGAAGAACGAACAGTTCATGGACAACATCGCCCGCTACCCAAAGGGCTGGTACGACGAATGGAAGACTGAAGAAGATAAGAAAAGGGTAAGTAAAGGGATATTGTGCTTAGGGCAGGCACCTATCACTGAAAAGCTGGAGGGTGTAAGTACATATTGCAATGATCTATTTCTGTACAACTGGAAAATTCTGTTTCTGCTAAATTACAGCTCACATCTAATTGGTGGGCCCGATGTTGTTAGGATAATTGTGATTGGCAGGTATGAAATGAAAAGTCAAGCTGATTCGGTTAAATCACTTCAGCACCAAGAAGAGTGCTGATTGGTGAGATCAGCACCAAATTAGCACCAAGGAGAGTGCTGATTGGTGAGATCTGCACCAAATCAGCACCAAGGAGAGTGCTGATTGGTGAGATCAGCACCAAATTAGCACCAGGGAGAGTGCTGATTGGTGAGATCTGCATCAAATCAGCACCAAGGAGAGTGCTGATTGGTGAGATCTGCACCAAATCAGCACCAACAGCACCAAGGAGAGTGCTTACTGGTCAGATCAGCACCATGGAAAACTCTAACCAACATCTTTCTATGTGATAGTGTAGGCACAACAGGCAAAATGGCCACCATTTTGGATAACTTCTGGTACTTGTATTTAAAAAAAATAGCCTGATCTGAAATAATATAATGTACGATAATGTATAAAATGACAACTTTACTAACACAACATAGGGTGCAATCAGAAAATAGAAACAATAAGCAATAATTCCATAAAGGAATACATCCAAATGTAAAGGAAAAGACTAATGGCTTCCCCTTAATTTGCATGCAGTCGGGGTCCAGAATGAGCTCTGCCTCTGGTAAAAAATCTGGCCGAAAATCCAAGGTATTACCAGGATAATTAAATAACCTTGCACTAAACTAGGCAGATCTCCACAATTTATTTTTTCTATTTTTTTCCCAGTTTTAAAAAAGCACTACAGTCAATGTAAATATTTCTATCTTCTCAAAAGACTTGGTCTGAATGTAAAGGAAGAAAGATCATAAAATCCCCCACTCTTATTTCTCTGTCGTCTCTCTATGCATTTATGTAGCAATAGTCCAATTTTGTTAACACGAAGTAGAATAGGATCATCACAATGTAATGGTGGCATGTGTACGTATATAGTAACTGAAATGTATCCTTATCTATGTGTGTAAATCTCTGTAGACTTGTGTTTGTACCTGATGTCTCTGTGGTCAAACTTCTGTTACTACATGTACCTGATACTAATACCTCTAACTGCCCTGTAAAGGGTGTTCCTCTCTTTGTGCTTCAACAGGATTTCTCACCGGTAAGTGTGTAGAACCAAATGTGCTGTCATTCTGTTTCCCTACACTGTAACCAAGAATGTCTCCTTTTTTTAACCTCCTTGCTGTAACCATGTCTTATTCAATACCTAGTTTACACTCTTCACATAAAAGTCACCAATTTCAAACTGTTCTTCAATGTTATCTGGAAAAAATTCAATAGAAGATTTCTTTAGAATTTAAATTGTTTCATAAGTAGACTGCACATACTTCATACCTTTTATCATCATTTATATGGTAAATCACACAATCTAAAGAAACCTTATAGCAAGTATAAAGAAAAAACTGTAAATACCCTACTCCATTAAACAATCAAGTTGATGTATGTATGGTGGAACTTTTCTTGCATGCAGCGAGCCAAGCCTGGCCAATCTAGCGCACCCCCAGGCAGAACTAGCCAGATCTCAGGCAGAGCTAGCCAGGCGTCTGGCAGGCATAGCCAGTGCTCGGGGAGGTATAGAAGGATATCCAGCAGATCTAGCACCATGTCTTGTCCGTCCTCTGCTAGTCTGTCTGGCCGCTCCCCTGGGAAAGCTCCCTCTCGTCAGGTATACGGACAGGCTTGTAGACAGGCTTGTAGACTAGACGGTCGGCCCACATGTACAATGTACAATCAAAGGCACTCTGCATAACATTTAGAGTACTGTAAATCGTGACATTTTTGCAGTGAAAACAACTCTGTAGTACAACAGTTATACAAGCAGACATATTAGAGATATCATCACAAAGAAGAGTGAAACTGAAACTGCAACCGTTTCACAATTTACAGATACTGTCACAGTAGTTCTGGATATAAAGGAATCGCCTTCAATGGTAGCAATAGGTAGCTGGCATTAGATTTAGATGGTAGCTTTAAAAAAAGTAGTTTGAAAAATGAATCACCTCACAGCTGTAGCACTAGGCAGGTGGCATTAGAGTTAGAGCAGTCTGCTGTAGTTCTTGCAAATGCAAACAAATCAGCCTGCTGGTAATAGCAAATTAGCAATAGGCATGTGGATGATGTGGCATTAGATTTAGGGTAGTTATGATAAATAAATAAAAATGCATGCTAGTCAGCCCACATAAAAAAAAACTTTGTATAAGATTTGAAAAGTACATGTATTTTTAATGCTGAAAAAATACTCTGTGTAAAAACTAAACTACTGAGACGATAATTCAAAAGAGAAGCTATAGTGCCAGAACTGAATGTCAATTTCACATCCACCTTTGTTTTGCAGTACAAATGGAACTAAGTCAGTCCAACATAGCTGCTCCCACCAGGTATGATAATGAGTATGCTTGGTGCCAGCCGATATGTTCAACTGGCTTGTCTTCCATCAGTCCTAGGAAAAAATGTTGTGTTTTCTGTTTTCCCATCAATCCTTGTAAATAAAATACCCACTGACCCTGGCCTTTTTAGGGGGCCATACAAAATTTTGATCTGAATTTTAATCCCCATCTAGAAGCCCATTTATTACTTTTTTTAAGTCAGAAACACAACATTTTTTCCCTCAGGCCTCACCCAACTTTGTACTTGTAACTTTCCCATTATTTATGAGACCTCCCTTTCTAATGGTAATGATGGCAAATTTTGCAAGGACACAAAGTTGGGTGCAACTGGTTGCAGTATGGAAGTCAGAACACAAACAGTTAACCCAGAAACTAGTGTGATGTGTCCTTTTTTTAATGAAGATTTTCTCATTACAGCAAAAATCTCGCGAGACATCCCGGCAGTCTACAAGACGTTCCTCAGAACAGACCCCCAGGAAGAAGAGCCGGACGAAATCAGAGAGAAAAGACAGCGCCCAATCAGAAGACAGAAAAGAAGATGATGCAAAACAAACTGACCAATCAGAGAAGCCAAAAGAGGAGGAGGGAGCAGCAGGAGGAGAGGAGGAACCTAAGAAAGTAGAAGAAGAAGCAGAGTAGAGAAATGTGCAAAGATGATCAAATTGGTCACCTGACCTCCTTAGCAGGCCATGCCACTGGAGTTTTATGGAGGCTTTTATAATGCACCTCTTTTTCTTACAGCATATCACTTTTATTTGCAACTGTAGGTTCTTGTGGCAGTCTATTCTGGGCTGACACAAGAGCACTGTTACAACTAGAGGTGATAGGTGATTTAAAAAAGCGCATTATAAAAGCATGCTATGGTCAACTGTGGAGGTGCAGATACAAGTCCTGAACTTTCCTATTTTGGCAAGATATTACTCAAATTTGACCAAATAAAAATGTAACAAATAAGAAATGTAACAAATGTACCAAATAAAAATGTAACAAAAATAACACTGTGAATTCTGAATTTGCCCTATGTACATGTATAGCCAATCAGTGAAAAATCTTCAAGTTGTTAGGTGAAAATAGGATGAAAAGAAAAGGACTTACAGTATTTTGAAGTTTCTTCGTGGTAGAAAACTTTGGGTGCCTCCACAAAAGGCAGTTGTTAAACTGAGATCATCTCTGATCAGTAATGCATTGACTAATCAGCAGAATATCATCAACTGTGTATCATGAAAGATTTGATACACATTCTGTATTTTGACTAACTGTGCACTAAGTTTGGAGACTTCTCAAAACCCTAACATGTATTAATAAGTACCAGAGTTGTACAACCAGGACAAGTGAAACTAGAAGCTAATGCTGCTACAATGTTCATGTATGTCATAGTGTAAGAGTGTATAATTTGATGAACATGGTACAATATTGTGACATATCTTGAGTGCTACATGTAGGCATGTGTATTATGGCATAATGCATTATTTTTTTCATATCCCACTTTTTAAAAATATCTACAAGTTACTGAAGTTACTGTTATGGTAGATATCTAATTAAAACATTATAAAAAGATTTAATCTGTTGTTCATAACGGTAAGTTTCTTACTAAAAGAATATCTATAACAGAAAATGTTTTCCTATGCTGAGTGAACACAAGTTTTATCATACATTGACTACAAATCTGCTCAGTGTGTTATGTGTTAAGTCTGTTTGAGTATGACAAAACAAAGGAAACACAACACAAAGGTATGAAAAGAATGGATGATTGATGAGATGGCACATTAAGAACTTGATGGATGTGGCTTAAGATGACAAGACAATTCCTGTAAGATACAAGCAGTGTCATCACTCAGGGAAAGTTGTCACAAAGACAAAGGAGTTTGCATGATGGAAAGATGGCCTGACGTCAATTGGCATTTTTACTGTATTCAACTGTGTCAGCAAATGAATTAAAAATGTTCATGTGTGGTGAATTATGGTGCTTTCACAGGAGTTTTATTGTTGTCACAATGTACAAATGAGTGAAAACTGAGCATAGTAACGGATAGCCTACATGTCTGGTGCAGTCATATTTGTTCTAGGTCGTCATACTATTTTGGTCGAGTCATAGGATTCTAAAGCAGGCTGTGACAGAACCAATCGCTGACAGCCTTCTCTGCATCTGTACCAAGACAGCTGAATTTGTAGGTCTAATGCACGACTATCCCAAAAACAAGTACAACAATTGCACAACCAGTCCTTGAACCATCTTTGGAATCTTGAATAGTATGTACCATAGTTGAGAATACAAATCAAAGTTTCTGGACAGTGATGTTAAAAGACAATTGTAATTGTACTGCAACTTATCCACAAGTGTGATTGTTGGTGGGGGTTTGGTGCCTTATTTTCTCCTCTCATGGCACAATATATGTGGCTTGGATTTCAGAACATTAACAAATCGTAATAAAGCAAAATGTGTTCGTGCCAACACCATAGTGAAAGTACAGGGATCAGGTGGATATCATGACAAGATTTAGTGTTCTAATATCAGTGTATTTGGATGATGTGAGAGCCTGATAATTTTAGGGGGGGGCAGCATGCACGTAGCACCTTGTACAAAGCTATGATACAAGATGGATTGTGATGTCACACCAGTTACAAAGCAATTACAGCACCATGAAGAAGGTTGTATTACTTCACAAAGAAAAACAATTTGTTATGGAAGATATATGTTGTAGCTCTGATATACATGGTATGTGATAAAGTGTACATTATGTTTTTGTACTAAGTGTTCTACCAGAGCTAGACTTTATCTAGTGTGTACTGTAGGTGTGCTCAAGAGAGTGTTATTTTTAATAAACACATGTACAACAGCAGGCAATGTGGATGTTTCACTTCTTTAATTTACTTGAAAGTTTTTACAAGGTTCATATTAAGTCTCTTTTCAGGAATAAAATGCCTATGGAAGTTGTTAAAATGTATAGAGAAATGCCTTGATTTACAGGAAAAAAATCACAGCTACATGTAGGTGGACTTTTCTGTTCTTTTACAAATATTTACATACAGAAAATGAATTTACAAGTTTGCTGAGGGTTCACTATACAACAAAGAACCACCTGACTTTAAAGGAGCATGTAAGTTGGGAGGAGGGTGTTATTGATAGATAATAATTCTAGGAAGTGAAAAATACACACTACTAGTACTTCACAGTGTACGATAAAGTACCCACTAGTCACGTGCGCATAAAAACGCCTCAGTACTTTGGATAACCCTTCAAATACCCTCTAAGGAATCCCAGAATGCATCATGTCGATGACTACAATATGCCTGACAGGCAAGGCCTTATAAAGAGGCTGCTGACTATGTATTCATTGATACGTAATCTACCAGTATGGAATATAACACCCTCCTCCTGACTGTAGTGCTCCTTTCATGAATGTAACCCTAGCTGTTGAGTACAACTTCAGTCTCGTAAGGTTCTAGTAACTTAATAAGAAATTTCAAGCATTGTAATGATAAAAATGTCATAGCCACAGGTTTTCCGTCTGTGTTGTCCTTAAAAGTTGACAGTTTCCATGGCGATGATCTTGCTCTCGATGATGTCCTTCAGCCATTTCTCCCTGAATCTGGACTGGCCCGGTCTGTGAGAATCAAAACAGATGTCATTGCTTCTGTTCATTTTACAATGATTATCCAACTTCTACAACGTCAACATGCTAAAATCATGTAGAACATGCTCAGGCAAACATTCAAATCAGGGCTGTTTCCAGCTTAACATTATTTTCCTTATATAATGCTGGTATTTCCAGCCGTTAGTTCAACCACTATGGCCTAAAAGTAAAAGACTTGAAAGAATACCCAGTACTAATGTACAGTGTTACATACCTGTGTACCAGCTTGTTTGTCTCAAACACATAGTACACCTGGACTGGAAAATTCTGGACAGGAAAGGAAAGAAAAGAAGCATTTTCAAGCAAAGACAACTAAATTACCCATTTCAACGTGTACAGCCATTTAATTGTGCCCAGTTGTTCTGTAGACTGACTGCAACGGAAAGTTGGTTTTGTCCAAGGTGCTGAAAGTGCTCAACAGCTGACATACATGTACCTGTGTTCAAGTTAGGCCTGTTAAAGTGTCTAACCAAGATTTCTGCTTAACTTTGATGTTTGTTTGTTTATTTATCATTATTGATCTCATGTTTGTATATTTTTGTCCATTTCTTAACACATAGGTTTATTGATGTGGGATGAGTAGGTAAGTTGTAGGATTAATTTATTCACGAAAAGGGGCTACTTTCTGTGGAAGCTGGATAAGCTGGCGTGTCAGTCACACAACCCTAATACATATGAAAACATGCATCATCGTCCTTGCAAAGATGAATAATGTTTACTCAGCGGAAAGAGCACACATCCTGGCTGCAGGCAAAAGTCAATTTCCCCTGTCTGACTAAAGAAAAATTTCCTGTCATCCTCAATACAACCAGTTGATTAACGAATATTGGACATTTTTGCCTCCCTGTCTGCAGGGAATAATTTTCTGTCTGCATTTTGCAGAAAAGTAATCCTAAGATCGGAAATTTTTCTTCTTCTTCTTCAAGGACTTTTTGACGGTCACAGAACTGACTGGAGAGTTACTTTGACAAGCTATGATGATGATGAGCATAAGATTCTACCTTCTACACTGTGATTTACTGTCTTTTAACCAGTACAGGCCTTGTTTTTGGGAGGACTTTGTGAAAGGAGGGTCTTTACAGTGTTTGAAATACAGAAGTCGTTCAAGGGAGCCATGTTCATGATCAGTGTGTTGTGAATTTGCAGTGCAAAAACTGCGAATTTTAAACTAAAACCACCACAAAAGTTTCCCAATCTACGGTATGACTACAGGAGCCGCCCTCACCTTGGGTTTAATTTTCGACACCTCGATGGTGAAATAAACGCAGGCCGTCGCACGCGGGATGGGTTTCCTCCTGGTGGGGATGCTCCAGCGTACGCGGTAACGATACCGTTTGTCGTACTCGTGGTCTTCCTCCTGCAGGAAGTCGATGCAGTACAGCCAGCTGCCTTCATAGTCCCACGTCTTTGGAAAACAAAAAAACACAGCAACTGAATAATCAGAAAACTACAAATAAAGCACCTATAATATCAGCCATTCCTAAACAAAACAAGGAATATGAGATTTAGACTTCCATTATAAGTGTTTTGGGTTTTCATGAATGTATCGGAACTATGGAGGGGATTGTATGATGTAATTTAGTTGGGAGTATAACACCACTTCCTGAATTCCTCCATATACTGCCCACTTACTCCCATGTAGTGTATGCTGGGTCACCTTCAATCTTGACCTCCCTATCAATCAACTGTTAAAATCCCCTCCCACTTCCAGACTACCATCGCTGCTTGGACAAATAGACACACAAACCCACAACCCAACCTCTGAAAACAACCCTTCCGTACCCATCAGTAATTACGGTATTCAGTAATTTTAGTGATGACAGTTATGAAAGCTCATACTGCTGGAAAAGCAATGTAGTACTAGTAACCTGAAAACATGACAGTGCTAGATACATGTACTAGATAGATTTGAGGCTACAATATAACTTTCTTGCTAAAAACTGATTGAATTTAACCTTAAAAATATTTTCAGCAAATTGTAAAAAAAGTAAAAACAGTGTCTACCTTGATGAATTCATTGATCTTCTCATCCCCTAGTTTGATGGTAAACTCCTCTGCTCTCGGCCAGGTGATGTTTTTGACAGTGTAGTCTTCTTCCTTGTCTTCTAGCATAAGGTAGTCATAGTAACCATACTTCTGGGTCTGTGGGAGCAACAAGGACAGTACAGTCATGGAATGGAACAAGGTTATGCTGCAGTTTTAACAATACATGTACTAGTACTCTACATCATTTCCATAAAGAAGGCTCCACCACTGGGCATTGCCAAAAATATGTCCATGATATGGATGCTTGTAGCTATTTTGATGCTAAGTACAGCAAGGAAAATTGAAAGGAAAAAAAGGATTTTGATAACAGATAACGTGGGATGATGAGCAACAGATCTGGAACATTAGGCCTAGAAAACATGTTGCATTTCCAGTTTCCTCACCAAACTTAGCAAAAACCAACAGATTCTGAAGCTAGTCTTTGGGGGGGGGGTACCCCGGTAACTGCTGGTAAGACCATAAAATTCTTGATGTGACATCTGAACTTCAAACCCTTTGGAACGTTACTTCACACATTTCCAGAAGCAAATTTTTAGACTAATTTTAATTGAAATATTGTCCCTTCCCTACTTGTAAGCAAGCAAATGGTCGGGTCGTGGAGACAGCCCTGGCCCTGATGCATTTCAGTTTTGTTTAACTGTATTTGTTGAATCACTTCCTACCAACCAAAGATTTCCTACCAACCTTTTTTTTTTCAGGACTGAAATCAGAAACACAACATTTTCCCCTAGGCCTTTCTGATATTTAAGGAGACAGTTGTGAACTTACCCCTGCCATGGTGCCATTCACAAAGGTAGAAAGTGCACTGGGAGACAGATGTTTGGAAAATGCTTTAGAAAAGAACAGAAGCAGCAGAAAGAAACCAGTTCTGCAAAGGATGCTGTTCTAGGGCTGCAAAGACTGTTCTAGAACTTGTCCCTTGTCATTGAAACTTTCAAACAATGGAATCACTATAGCTACTTGATGCCAAAATATTACATAATGTTCAATTATGACATGGCATTGTTGTAGAACAGATCATTGTTAAACGAAAATGACATTCATTGTTAAGTAAAACAGAAGGATTGAAAACATTACAAATACATGTAGTCATCAAAGTCAGGAGTTTTTTTCTTGATTGCTCAGTGTATTACTGCCATGACATTCAGGAAAGATTATTTTGCAATACAACATGAATAACTGAAACTTGTCAGCTGTAACCTTCTCATACATTTATAAGACCATGCAAGTAACTTGATGTTATTGTATATCATACTATCACTAAGTACTGCAAAGAAAATAACTTTTTTAAAGTTTGTTGTCCAGTCTCCAGATATCTACTAGTAGATGAAGATTCTGAGATTCATATTAGATACAGGGGTGTGCAAATATGATGTAACCCTTATTATCATGTTCTATATTCTACTATTCTACTACTCATATTCTACTAACCCCCATCACAGCCTCCTGTGCCTGATGCTCAGCCTCCTTCTCTTTCTCCTCTTCCACGAGCCTCTGTCTGGCGCTTTCTATCACCATGTCCACAAGGGCGTGGGCCTGCGCTTCCATCTCCGGGGACCCCAGCATAGGGGGCGTTTCTGACTCCGACATCTTGGAAATGGGTCCGTTATACTACAGTGCTGATGAAAAGCAGGAAAAAAGAACTTAAAGACTTTTAAGTTGTGTTCTTTGTGTTCTTTTTCCTTAGGAATTTTATCCTCAGGAAAAGTTTTCAAACCCTGGTCCCTTGCATTTCCAGGATCAGAAAGAATTCATACTATATTTAGCTTTCAAAGATAGTTTTAACCAATTGCATAGAATGATATACAGGGTTTGCATGCCTTTTTCGCAAACATACATACGGCATACAACATTACAAGGCTGTTTTAAATTCTGCATACTCAGTCTGACCTCTCTGAAATAATGTAGTTGCAGTGTAATAATCCAATTGCATTATTTGCAAAAATGACAAATCATTGAATTTGCATACTACCCTGCCTGCCTACTTGACTTTTGTGTAAATCAATGTATTATAAACCAGTTTGAGTTTGTGTCCTGAGAATGTGCTAACGTTACATGTAGCATGCCTTCAACAACAAGACGCTTTCTGTCCTGAAATATTTGTTAAAATTTAACATTTATCTCGCTCCTTAGAGGTCAGTATAACATGATTCTCCAGGTCAATGCGTACAAGCATGCGAAACTTACGATAAAACGGCAGAAACCGAATAAACTTCCCTACCTGTCCAGTACCGCCACTGCCGCCTTGTTGTAGTGATTGTTGCTACCGGACAACCGGAAGTAAACTTCTATCAAAATCCGAAGCAACCAATCACAGAATGGCTTACATCCCCGCAGCTGAAAGAAGCGTCTGTGATTGGTCAGTTTTCCAGATGTCACCTTTGACCCTCAAAATGGCGGGCGATGAAATTATGGACTCCGGTTTTGGGCAAATTTTAGTGAATTTGGACAAATTACGGACTCTAGTGAGGCAATATGTTGATGCGGTAGGTACCTTCTATGTCTGTTTAAGTCAAAGATATCAATTCTATTTGTAGTTTTTCTTCTTTTGGTAGAATAACGAGCTTTCCGGGTATACGAGTCAGTAGAAACGTTGTACTTGTACAGAAAGAGGGAGGGGGGCTAAACTAAAAACTTCAACTTAATGAAGCCGTTACCTAAATTTTCTTCTTGTCGCTGTCGTTAGCCTGGCAGCACCAAATTAACGTAGTGTATAAGGCTGACTTTCTTTTTTTGTTAGGAAACAAGTTTATGAGATGATGACAGAAACTGAAGAAGAAAGCAAATTCGGCATTTTTCTACTGTCACAAATTATTTCCTACACTTTCGCTTTGATTCATTTGAACTTTGATTGGTTTGTATATAAATTTATTTTACCCTTTGTTTCCCTACAGCACCAGTACAGCTCGGCGCTATTCTGGGCAGACAAAGTTTCATCCCTCTCAAATGGTGAGAATTTATATTTGTTGTAACAATAGCGACAAAGGTAGAAAATCCTAAATATTTCCTGTCTCTCGCTCACTCATTCACTCACTCACAGTCACTCACTCACTAAGTCACTCAGTTCTGTATCTATAACTAATATACAGTAATATATATATAAGCCGGCTTTGTATTTAGAATAAATTCTTTGCTATCTCTGTGTAATGTATCTGAATTGTAACTGTTCTTATTTCATATTGTTAATTGTTTATTGTCCAGTTATGGCTAGCCCTTTATACTACTATATATAGCCTCTGGCTAGTTGGGCAGTCCTGGCTGTATATCTTTTTATACAGTGCCCGAACTACTGTGCACAGCTTCTACCACTAGTATAATTCAGTCTGATGTTACGTGAGACAAGGGAAGTGTTTTGTCACAGGAAGTTTCAGAATAAAAGTGTTGGCAGTAGACGAAACTAGATTAGGATGGCCGATTTACAGTTCCAAATGTGCATTTGTGCATGATGTTCATACAATTTGTGGCCATTGTGGTCAGAGTCTCTATATAGACAAAGTTTTTTAAAAGGCCCCTGGCATGTACAAAAAATTGCCAGTGTCTGTACATATATAATAAAACCGCCACGAAAGTTTCACAATGTACAGTGCTGTAAGCTACTTACAGTGTACAATGTACACATTGTACAGTGCTGTAAGCTACACTTCATTGTACATGTACATGTACCACTTGTTGTTTCAGGAGAAGGCCAGGATGTCTATTGGCTGGCCCAGTGTATGTTCCTGACAGGACAGTATCACCGAGCATCTCATCTCATCAGGAGTAAAAAATTAGACAAGGTAAATCCTAATCATTATTTCTGAAAACTTCTGACCAATGGGATGCTATGTTTAATTGTTTTATCAGATTATCTGATATATCCTGAGTAATGCAGACCAACTACACATTTTTTTCTTTTCGACTTCAGACGGAAATTTCTAATAGGTATAGGTATAACTATAAGACTTACATGTAATGCATATGAGTCAGACAAAGTACATTTACACCAAAAAGACAGACCCACAATGTGAGATTTACGTGTGACACCAAACTAATTTATTATACTGATCTACATAAATACATTACATGTGAGTCCAAAACACTTGTTAACATATTGTCATCTAGAGGAAAGATACGTGAGCAAAGAAAGAAAATACTTCATTTACTTAGTACAATTATGTGAAACTTGGTATGAGAAGTAGATTCCTATTTTTGATAACCAAGTTTCTTGTCTCATGTCAGTGCACTGCAGTAACTGGAATATACATAATTTCCTTAAACAAATTTCACATGGAATTTTTGGTGCACCTATACATGTACATTGGTACTAACTTTCTGTCTCTTAGTAAAATTAAGTGCAAAATAATTTGGCTCCAAGACATATATTAAACATATTACATACAAGTCTTATAAAGTTTCCTTATGTGTATAAGTTGTAAGCATCATCAATCTATAGCAGGTTGAACCTTACTTCAAAGGTCTCTCTAGATCTCTGCCATTCTTTTTGAATACATGTACATGTATTAGATAATCATTTCAATATTACAATGTTTACATGATACATGTACTAGATATATCCTTGAACTTAAGCATGATAAGGACACATACTATAGGCAGGGCTTAAAATACTGGGTGAATGTCCAAAGTTGGAACTGTGCAACTAAGTTTTTTACATAAACATTAACATGTGAATGTGCAGTATTCAAACAATTGTCTTTCTCTTTCTACACAAAACACTTTTTTCACGACCACAAGCATAAATTATATACATCACATACATGCACATGCACATTCAAGACATACATTTGTACCAGTAACTGCCAACATGTATATGTGTACTTAGATTTTGTATGCACATTGTTGTTCTTTTTTTGTAAAATAGAAATGATTTTTCTCTCACCAAGTATTTACCATTATATGATCATGTTCACACTGTTGATGTGTAACATACACAGTTTGAAATGTATTGTAACTGGTCATAGAAAAATTGGATATAGATGCACATGATGTATTTGATACTGTATAGTATTAGATGCTGTCTGGTGCCTAATTTGTAATAGTATATGAATAATCATAGTTTAAGTAGATTGTGAACAACCCACAATCAGAAGGTATTGCTATCCTTGAACAGTGTTCATAACTTGTATTAATATGATGAATGCTACATACCCGTGAATGCCACATGCCAAAAGGATGGTGTATGCATTATACTTTCATATGTAGCAAAATGTGAAACAGCTACTGGGATACATTAAAGCCCAGTCTTCACACAATCTATGTACTATGTATCCTTTACTGCTTTATCATTTCTAAGGCTCATTATTGCCCAGCCAAAAAAACTGGTCTGAATGCTACAGGCTAAATTCAACTGGTATTTATGTCATACTTCCGGGTTCATGGGGTCAGCATCCAGGCTGTGTGGAAAAGCTGTTTGCGCATTCCCGCCAGGTTCAACCTCCAAACTTTTGGACCACGTCATATTTTTTTGGAGTTCGTTTCCGCTGTTTTTCTTCTTTTTGCAATGGAATCTGCAAAGGCAACCTGTTCAACAGACGAGACCAAGCGCCAATTTTTGGAGATGCAGAAAAAGCTGCGGTGGAGGTGGCTGTACCTAAACCAAAGTATTTACCAGGTCAGGTTGTTTCGATCTAGGTCAAGGAGGGAGGCAAGTTTCTTCAAGACAACGGAACAATGCCGCAGTAAAGATAATAAAGAACCTGAAGATGACATACAAGAAGGCCAAGGACCATAATCAGAAGAGCAGGAGGACTGGAGTGACATGTCCTTTTTACAAGGAGTTGGGCGCAATCAAGGCCAATTAACCATTTAATATGTAAAGTCTGGTATGAGGAGGTTTTAGCCTGGTTATCTCCGATAATTATTCATCCAGTTTTTAAAAGTTGTATGAATTGGGTCTTAAACTGGCTCTCTCAATAGTATGCCGCTATTTTATACCATACTTGTACTAATAGTTGTAATGATAAATAATGTCTATAACAATCAATTATACAATACATCTCATCGATCTGTAATGGCTACAAAGATCAATAATTATATCATCCTATACCATCCTAGTTTGTACAACCTTTACTGGTGTGTTTCAATGAAAGTAAAAGCCTTCTTAATCAGTGCTAGCTCTTCTACAAATTTAGTTCTGCTTACGGAAGCTAATCTTTTACCAGTTGTAACAGGAAAGACATACTACTTGTGCAGTATATATCATAAGTCACTTTTCAGGTTGATTGTTCTGGAAAAATTCCCAGAGCTCCACTAGTGCAATAAACAGTGGATCACAGGTCATCAGCTTCCCCTCCTTACGATGACTGCAGTCCTTTGCAGTAGTGTGCACGTCCACTTAGGAGCAACGACAGCCGGGATTCAAACTCCCATCCTCCAGGTCCTGAGTCAGGATCACTGATCACTAGACCCACATTATCAGAGTCTTATGCTGCTACTTAGTCTGCTATATTCAGTACTTTACGCATTTACATATAATTTACATATTATAAATATTGTCAGTTCGCATTTCCTTTTTAAAATGTACGCAAAGGTGCGTAAGTTCTACCCTACCTTACTCCATCAGTCTACTTGTACTGTCCAATCTTTTACTGACAATGTCTTCAAAATGAATTATACAGTACTAAGTCTTAATTATGTCTACAACAATTATACAATACTTGTGTAATGTCTACAACAATCAATTATACAATACTTCTGTAATGTCTACAACAATCAATATTATACCTTTCTTTCTTAGTAATACGTAATGTCTATAACAATCAATTATACAATACTTATGTAATGTCTACAAGAATCAATATTATACCTTACTTAGTAATACGTAATGTCTATAACAATCAATTATACAATATACTTATGTAATGTCTATACAACAATCAACTATACCTTCTTTTTATGTAATGTCTACAACAATCAGTCATAATTTATACTATACTTACGCAATGTCTACAACAATCAATTTTGCAATACTTCAGTAATGCCTACAGCAATTAATTATATTTACTCATAATGTCTACAACAAGTAAGCAACTCAATGCAAATTGTATATGACTTTAACAATATATAGAATCTACACAATTCCTTTGAATATGCTTATGATAGTTAAAAAGGTACAGTAAGTTGGCGGTGGATTTGTCTATTGTGCAACAGTAAATCCATCTAGTATTATTGCCATCTGAGAGCTTGAGGGAATGAGTCTCAAACCTGTCTGTACTGTCTGCTTGATGGACTTGTAGGGAAATGATCCAAAAACGTGGACACAATGGCCAGATGTTCCTTTTGCACATTTTCAAAAATTGGCCCAGCCAGGCTTACATTTGCATGACCAAAAAATAAACAATGTCACCACTGTACACAAATATTACTCATGATTATTAATATTTTTCAACTTTTTTGTATTTTCTGTCTTTCATATCATACTTTTCATTCCTGAAAACTTCCAGGCATTATTGATGCATTTCATGCCATTGTTATACACTGTATGGTACTAATTTAATGACACACAAGTCAAGAAATCATGAATGGATTTTAAAAATTTTCTGATTTTGTTTAATAATTTGAAGTAAACCAAAGATGATGATAAATTAATATAAGATTTACAACGATCGATTATTATACCATCAGCAGATTTCTTTTTATTGCAGTTGTTTTTTAATGTTTACCCCACAAAAGTGAGTCCATGAAAGAGGTCAGTGACCTCCATAGCGGAGTATTGAAATCAAATGTGGTTTTTGTTTCAGACTTTGAAATAACTCCAATAGAGGTTGACGGATTTTCATGACTTTTGTTATGTAGATAACTTAAGTAATGAATTAGACAAAATGAGATACAAATCATGCGAATCAGAAACTAATTTGTATAATTAAACAGAAAAGGTGATAAATCCACTGCATTTCATAATAGGACTTTCAAATATGTGTAACTGAGAGGAATATTGATAGATTTTATTATGCAAATGGTTATATATTTGCATAATTGATAGTCAAGTCAAAGTTTATTGCACAACGATTGTTACGGGTACAATGTGTGGCAAACATAAGAACACACTATAAATAGTATAATTCCGTAATGGTAAATGATGATGCTCATTTCATTCTTGCAGCATTTGGAAGTTGAAAAGTTGAACATTGTTAGATATTAACCATGCAAATCAGGGCCTCATTTGCATGATTGACTCAGAAAAGACTTTGGAACGCCTTTGTGGATTGTGATGATATTTAGTATGTTGGTAGGTCATAGGAAGACAAAAGTCATGGCCAAATATAGGCCTCCTGGTGGCTGACCTTGGTACTGAACGTCCATTTTTTTAAATCTTCTGACATGAACATGCTAAGGTCTTGGATTTTTGGTGACACATAGCTTTTTTGCCATGAATAATGTAAGTGATATGGGTTTTGTTCCCCTAGCAGCTTGTTCTGGAACTACAGGGGAGTTTCTGGTGAAATCTTTTAAAGCAGATAAGTCCAGAAAGGAACAACATATTTTCATTATTTTTGGTATGTAGGTAGCTTATAGAGAGATGTACATAATCAAATGCAAATTATGCAAATGAAGACATAATTTTCATTTCCTGCCATATCTGTCCCGTACCAGCATATATATCTACAGACAGTGATCTAGGAAATTTCCTTTAACTGTTTACAATAAACAGTGAACAGCTTTTATCCTTATACATGTATTTAGGAAGGGCCATTGTTTCTGTTTTATGGCCCTTCCTAAATATAAGGATTGCGAATCTTTCCAGTAGACAAGTGTGCATGTCAGACGAGCAACTACAGCC